AAATTAGTCAAATAAAAACGAGACGTAATGTCTTTCAGACAATTCCTTAAATACCACTTTCCACGTTATTAAATTAACTAAACTACTGTAGCTTATTAACTTGAACCAGAATTATAAACCGCCCAATTGCTAGATTGCAACAAGACATGGCGTTCTCGGTCTCCAGCTGTGGAGCTTAAACTGCTTTGCAGGTGGATGTTATGTGAAAAACGTGACACTCGGAACCACAGTAGCAAGATTAAGTCCTGCACGCGAATGCAAAACAATTGTGCCCAGAATAATGAATAGGGTCATAACAACTGCTGTGTCACACGTGGACACCAGTTCAGTACTCTACAAACACGGAGACAGGAGACAGCAGTAGAAAGAAAATTGCATTGCAGAAACGTCCTATTGGTGTTCCACTCTTGAACTGTTTTCTCTGTACGCGGTAAATGTGAAACGTCGGGCCAACGGCTCCAACCGCATGCCAATGTTGGTACGTTTACTAGGTTGGCACTGTGGCACACCAGAATGAGCCCGTGAAATATGGAAGGATGATGGATCTAGCATGGGGTCGAACTTTGGATCGAGCTGTTATGAGCTAGATCATGGGACAAAGAAAGGGGTTGAACATAGAATCAAAATCGCTATTATTTCTATCATTTCTTGTTCTATTACTCCATATATGGGCAATCACACAGCAAAAGTAACTTAATTTGGGCATCACACCTACTTTATATTATCATGACTGTATATCCCTCCATATTTCACCAACTAATTCTAAAGTTTCACATTTCTAAACCAGTAATATCACTCCATGACGTCATCTTCACACCACGAACTTGAGTGTCCACTGCTGGATGAGCGCATCCTGTCACCGTGTGAGTGATGAGGATTATCTGACCATACTGCACGCTGGTCACAGAGGGCTACAGGTGGGAAGCATAGTGGTCACAGGTCACCCAACCCCAGGCTCAAACCTGCTTAGTTAGAGCTTTCAGATCTGGTCATGGGACTGCCAATACAACAAAAAATCATTATATAGCCTCCAGATAGCATGCCTCTAAATCAGAAGGTCGCGAGTTCAAATCTTGTTTGGGGAATGACTCGGCCAATCATCATCCGAGGTCGATAAAAACCAGTACTACTTCGCGGAAAAGTCAACAGGGATTGTCCAATGGATACACTCGTTGAGCAGCCTCAACGAGTCCAGAAACAAATGCACACAATAATCCAAATGGGGCACCGTCCACATTAAACAGAACTTTTACAAAAAACAAAGAATTCTGCCATGCACATGAAGAGGGTTCAGCACATGAAGAGGGCCCAACACATTCAGTGGCACAACATGACGACCCTCTCTACCAGGAGCCGGGCACAGTCGAGTGGCTGTGGTTTGTAAAAAAAAAATGCGGATCCTTCTAGAACTACAGTAGTTCCCTTCCCAAAATACTGTTAACTAATTTGTAATTAACGTGCTATGAAGAGGTTTAATTGCTCTAAACGTCCCCTTTTAAAATGTTTATGTTAAGGCCATACACAGTGGTATTGACGAATGTCCATTTTACTTAATGCTTGTACACCACTGCCAACGCTTCTTCTTCTTCTTGAGTGCTGCCTAACGGCGTGTGCGACTTCACGATGATATTGGTCCCGGTCTAGCACGGCGTGTAGAGTTTGTGCTGTTGTTAATTGTAGCCATGTTTTGATGTTACTGAGCCATGTCGTTTTTGGCCGTCCTGGTCGTTTTTTCCCTTCGATTTTTCCTTCCAGGATTTGCTTTAATAGCTGGTATTTGTGGTCGTTTCGGGCAATGTGGCCTAGGTAGTAACACTTCCTGCTAATGATGGTCTTCAGCAGTTGCCTGTCAGTGCCCATATCTTGCAGAACTTGTGTATTGGTGGTTTTGGCTGTCCATGGGATTTTCAGCATTCTTCCATACAGCCACACTGCCAACGCAGCAGCATCATAAACGAATAATTTATTCTGTTATCTATGGGGCCCGTTTTTTATCAAGATGACGAAAAAAGGGAAGAGGCTTTACCTTTGCTGGTAATTATACAGACGTTAAGTTGTTCAAACAGACTCGATACCTCGCGATAGGTTTGTCTATTTGGTGTTTGAATATATTAACGTCTGTAATTATTGCCGGAAAGGGTAACATCTATTCTTATTATTTGTATCAATTTGTTCCCCGGTTTTAAAGTTTGTGGGGTTTTAAAACTCGTCACTTGAAACCCCTACCCAATTCGCTTTTAAGTTGCAATCCTGTAAAACAGGGGTGGGGAACCTTTTTTCTGCCAAGGGCCACTTGGACATTTATACCACCATTCGCGGGCCATACAAAAGTATCAACTTAAAGATTAACCTGTGATATTTGGTCAAACATTTAATTAACTCACCCCGAATGTGATGGCTGGAACTGCCAATTGATTTCGCGAGGCGGACGTTCGCAGTAGTACTGGGTGGGGAATATTCCGTATTTTATTTATCTACAAACGATTTTAGAAAGGTACACATTGCAGTATTCATTCACTTACCGGCCTCGCAAGCTTCGAGTTATGGGGCTGATGAAAATCTTCCCCGAGTAAACAAACACCTTAAGTACAAGAGTAACAAAGTGGGCCGTGCCTCTAAACACAGCCCATGTACAAACGAATAACACACACAAGCAAGAAGGTGCACGCCTTCTAGACCAGCTAACAGTCAATGCTTTCTTACCATGGAGGCTGCTGTTGACCCTGAGACTCGCCCAAGCCACGGACCACACATTGCTGGCTTGTGTTGAGTGAGTGCTTCTATTGACACAGCTTGCACATTTATTTGGGAACTTCCAATGGCAGTAGCCGTCACTAAGCCCTGCCCTGATATGGACCCAGTGAGCATTGGGCGGGGATTTCAAACAGAAGATGCCCGTTGGCCCCTTTTTCATTCAAATGGTGCGCACATGTAAGCAGCATCAGCAACATGAGTAGCGACATCCTGAGAAGAGAGTGGCTTTACAGAGAGCACTGAAGTGTCTCTGAGAGTGTTCTCGGAACTATGTGGGCACATCACTGTGAACAAGCTTGCCGAGTCTGATAGTTGTTTGGTTAAAGGTTTTGTCAAAATATTTAAATGACGAGAAAGGACACACACACTCAAGTACTGCTGATGGTTTTTATTTTTGCATAATGTGCAAAGGCTGGGTGCCTTTTATCTGTTTTTGTGTTTGTTTCAAAACTTAAAAAGTGTCATGTTTCCAAAGAGAATGTATTATATGGTAAGTGTGCAATGTTTGTGAGATAGATTTAAATAGAGTGTGTCGTTTCAAGCAGCCATCTGGCATAACAGTAGCCACATTTTAGGATTAACAGTTTACATTTTTAAGTAAGTGTTATTGACAAATGTGTTGTTTTTGTGATTGTGCCGCACTGCCAACGGACTATCAGCAAATAATTGTAATTGCGGGACTGTTTCCAGCTCAACATTGATCCACCTAAAGTGGTTTATTCACATTCCTTGCCGTTTAATTTCCCAAAATAATGTTTGACTATACCTTGATATGTTAACCAACCAGACCAATACTTATTATATTGTATTGTACAGTATTTCCCCCATTTTTATCTTAGTTTTCATTTCAAGTTAATGTTTTTAGAAATATATATTTCATAATTTTTTTTCACAACAGAAGCCGGCAAAGCCAGAGCCACCTGCGTCATCAACCATCATGCCACTGCTGCATGGTCTCCCCCATCCAGCACATGAACTGATTCATCCCTCCATCGACGAGATGGACATCCTCTCGGATGCATTCCATTCCTTAGCTGCCACTCCGTTGTTTTTCTTGATTATTTACGGCCAACATAGATGTATGAAGTCGGCGTTACCCTTTTGTGAGTGCAGGGAAACTGAGAAAGGCGAGGAGGCTAAGACAGAGTTGAACTGAAAGCAAAGGAATACATAGTGACAGGGAAAAATCAAATAAGTCTGTTGTAAATCTACAAAGGGGAACCAGATCCCATACATCACCGATGATCCCTGTATCACAAATGAACACGTCGATTTAAAGCTTTCGTGACTGCAGGGATTCATCTTCTTGGTTCTTTCGGTAAAGTCACGTAGAAGGAAAGTAATAAAATAATAAAAACATAATAAAATAATTCTCACGACGTTTCGGCCACAACGCAAGTAGCCGTCTTCAGGTGTTGTGGCCGAAGCGTCGTGAGAATTATTTTATTATGTTTTTATTATTTTATTACTTCCCTTCTACGTGACTTTACCGAAAGAACCAAGAAGAGAAATGAACACGTTTTAATCGCGTCCAACCTCTATTGAGTCCTTACGACTCATCATCCTTCCTCATGATATAATGGCTAGCCGACAGTTTTCAGATATAAAAAAAAAATCGTAACACATTTTACAAACTCATCTAATGCGGGTACATTAATTATACATAAAGGCATGTCTACATCTAGTCTATAAAGGCATTTGCTAATAGCCTCAGGTATTTGCGATTACCTGGCAATACCATGGCACCACATATTAAGATAATTGGCTTTAATGTTAAATTAATGGAGAATCTGGAGTGCATTCTAAACCATTAGATTGTATGGCCGGATCTTTAAACCTCACCGTTATAACTTTTAAAATCCCTGTCGAGCAATCCCATTCTTTTAGGAAAATAAGTACAGTAGAATGGATTTGTCAAAACAGAGCAGAGTGGAATGCCTTCCATATTTACCCCGTAACAATAATTCCCCAATCTCCACTTGTATATTATCTAGTGACACAAAATTCAGCAATTTCATGAACATCTTAATTTTACTTTAGTCCCGTGATATGCATCTGTTTAGCCTAAACAATGTATTGGTTTTGGCTGAGAAAAGAAATCCCAACGAATTACCTTTGCAGAAGTCCCGTGGTATATCTTGGTTCCCATTTGCATTGATGTTGCCACCTGTTGTTTAATTTAGACTTGAGACTAAACGTGGTTAATGAACACCTTACGCAAAATAATGATTTACACTACACACACGTTCAGCAACGCCACCATTTAATGTAAATGCACATTTTGGTCCTGCATACGGCAACCTGTACATGGATACAATCATTTATTAAGTCTGGAAGTGTATTTATGCAGCGTAATCTGTTACAGTCAGCTTAGGCAGAGATTATGAGAAGGGGTGGGGGTTGGGGGCCACATAGGGCAGCCAAAGCTTTTAACAGTGGGAGAGGGTAGGACACCAACCAGGCTGAACCCAGGTGCCACTTTGTCTGCATGCAAGAGTGCAGGGATTATTATTGTAACTGAGCTATCCAGCTCTTTTTCAGGAGCGACCTGGCTACACATGCCAGCTCAACGAAGCGGCTTATCGTGTGGACATTTATAGCACCAAATTACTCGAAATGCATGTTTCTAAATGTGCAGGGAAAAACCAGAGAACCAGGAGTAAAATCACGTGACCACGGGGAGAACACGCAAACTCCAAATATACAGCAGCAGGCGTCAGGGTGGGGATCGAACCCACAAGCTCCTGTATACCAGGCGAGGCAGTTAACATCTCCCCACCGGGGCACCCCATTATACTTCAAGGTATAGAATATCACAAATTGATGTCTCGCAGTCCATAACATCACTTGGTAATTATTAGGCACGTAACAATGTACCCCCCCCCCCCCCCCGAGTGATTTGCACAAGTGTCACCAAATGAGGGTACAATTATAAAATGTACTTTAACCATATTTGTGTGTTCTCATGTTTGTGCAATTTGTTTGCTCTATTAGTCGAAATGTAAAATCAGCATACAATTTGCATTCATTGTATATAATATGTAATCAATGCTTCCTCACATAATTCATTAATCACGAGCGTAAGAATTGGTTTAAACATAACCTTGCGTTGTTACATACCTATTAACTACACCTGCAAACAGGTGTATTTGGTCAATGATGTCCACTGAAAACGGATCCACCAGTAATATCAAATGCCTGCCACATTTTCTACCTTGGCATTAAAGCCTTACAATTCTTTTCTTCCCAAACACACATCGAATAAAAATGTAATATAATTCCAGCTATACGGCTTCCAGTCAAGGATTTGGAAGCATTTGTTGGGAATATTAGTTCATAAGAGGTTTTTTGAATATAAGTGTTTGGATTGTAATTACTATATCGCAAATGTCAGTGCAGCATTGTAAGGCCGGAAAACAGGCAGATGATGCATGGGGACAAATGCTATCCTGTCTCAGAGCAGTCAGAGAGTCGTTCATAAAACACACAGTACATTTTGTTTAAGTTATTCATATTTTTGTATATGTAGCAGTTTTACATGCTCTATTTTTAGTTAAACTACATTGTAAAGTCACTACAATATCCAAAACTTAAAGTATCCAAAAATAAACATTTTATTTCATTTTTATATGCTTAAATGCCCTTCAGTAATACTTTGCTCAAATATATTTTTTGCTAAAGTTAACGTTCTACTGGCCTTAACGGCATAGTACCTGTATTAGTCTTAACAACATGTAACATTTGAATATGAAGTTCCTTGAGCTCCAGCTTGGTATCTTCCATGTCACATCATCCATTCAGCATCTCTGTTTATCTCTGCAAGCGACACGAATAATACATCAAATATATATTAATTCAGAATTAAAAACTAACCTTACACATATATCAACCATATCATGGTATGCCCCAAGGTCGCTCGCTCAGCAAAACCCGGTTCTCTCTACCAATTATCCAGGGGGCGTAGCCATCCAAATATCCAGGGTCGAGACCACGGTTGAATGGAGTTATTCGGCAAATACTTCCAATTATCTAGGTTTATCTGTTGTCACGTACCCCAGATAAACGAGAGAAATATAAACTATACAACTTACCAAATGTTATAGCAATGGCTGGAAATAAAAACACAGGTTTTAAAGTTAGGCAACAACATTTCAAGAAGACAAAGTGTTGGGTCACAATGCTTATCAAAAACATGTTATTTATAGTGAAATAATCTGCATATATTTTTTATTAAGACAAAAATGTGTCAGGATTTACTCAATTACCTATCTTGCCAAGATGGTTAACAACAGGCATCTGGAGATTGATGGGTGGCTCTTACTGAACCAGCACCACTTAAGTCCTTTGTTTTAAACTGAGCAAATTGATAACCTCAGCTTGGCCAGCAATGACTGCACACAAAAATCATTAAATATGATCTTTCCTGAATTTGGCTTATTCTAGCGTTTGAGAATGTTCAATATTATTGCCATGAAACACATTTATTTATAGTAGGACATGTCAGAAGATACATCCATAGTGTCGATAATAACCAACTAGAGACCTCACATGTGGTTCTATGGTATCATCTTCAAGAGGCTGTCTGTAACATTGTCTAATTTAATGCTATCTGCAAGTGATTCGAATTTCACTTTATTCACCTTATGACCCAATACCAATATGACAATTATCATGCACTTTATCAAACACTAAAATAGAAAATTCTTGATTTGAAGCTTTCGTGACTGCAAGGATTCATATTCTTAGTTCTTTCGGTAAAGTCACGTAGGTAAAAAATGAAATTAAAATTTATTAAAATAAAATAAAAATAAATAGAAAAATTATTATTAAATAATTGCCCACAATTACCCAACATCGATGCCCTTTAAATTACTTTTAAAAGTCCAAGAAGTCCATCAAAGTTCACATACTGGACTAAATCTTAAACTTATAAAAACATTTTTTTTTTACAAAGTGGCTTTGTGTTGCCTCACGAAGCAAATTTAGGGCTTATGCCCCCTAGAACCATAATGATATCATCCAAAACCATAACCTATGCTACAAAGTACAAATCATATGCACTATGTAACCTTCTTTATTATGTGTTTGCTTAGGTTTCTCAGAAAACCTCATTGCTGTGAAGACGTTGAATTTAGATTTTATCATGGTGCACAAAAGACAAGACTGCTGTTTCAGCCACATAACAGACACCCATTGTATTTTTATTACAAGGACTGTGTGTGTTACTAATATACTCCAATTATCACAGTCCTAAAAAATCTGCAAAAACTTTTCCTGCCTTTTTTAAAGTGAAAAAAATCCTTGTTACATTTTAATCTAGCTGAGTAATAAGGTGTGCTGTTTGATATTTAAAAAGACTACAAGTACTGTATAATACAGTTGCGTAAATGCATTTATGTTAATATGTGGCTTTTAGCCTTCAGTCCTGTTTCATGTTAGCCAAACAGTGACTCTCAGTGTGGGCATAAAAATGGAAGCATCGATAATGTTTTAATGAAAATGTGCTGGCACATTGGCCTTATTTTTTCTTAATTGGAGCAAAATATGAATTATTGGAATGTAATACTGTACGTTTCAAACTACAGCATAAAGACTAATCCTGCATTACAGCCAAATGCACAAATAATGGGATTGTTTTTATTTTTAATAGACCAGGGATATTGACCGAAACGTCGTGGTCTTTTATTATTTTTTCTATCTACGTGACTTTACCGAAAGAACCAGAGAGTAATAATACCACCATCACGTAATGCAACATGTCACCTTAACGTGGACATAATACGGTCCTGATAACCAGGCAGCTTTTGTTGGTATTTGTGCTCACTTGTATAAAATGATGTCACCATCATCCATGTGTGTAGCCAAGTCCTCAAACCCCTGAATCCAGCTGAGCCTTGCCACCACCTCTTGGCTGAGGCTTTCAAAAGGATGCAACCCCTGTATCCAGAATGCAGACAAATATGTATATTATAAAAGAAAGAAGAGGAAAGTTGCAGCCCTGCAATTTATTGCTCATGCCAACGTTGGCAGAATCGCCTCCACTGGACGGAGATGTAGAGAGCTTCCTCCAGAGGGAATTGGGCCTGCTCTTCCCTCCTGGCCAGATGTGGCTTGCCTATCGTTTCAACTCCCGTGCCAGAAGGTCGCACTGGCGACCTCTCGATTGTACGTCCAGTTTGCAACCCATTCCGCCACAGCATCATCCGAAACATGTAATGTGAACTATCAGAGCCGCATTTAGAACTATTGGCGACCGGGGCAAGGTGCCATCCTTGCGCACCCCTCTGCCCTCCATGCACATACATTCAGCAAACTAAACATTCCTCTCCACAGTGATATGTTCCATATTGTCTCATATGCTAATATTACATTTTTAACGAATGGGATAAAGACCATAAAAAAACAGGTGAGAGCCGGATTTGGGTAATGAAAACAAAACAATAATCATACATTGCACACTGTAGGGCATAACTTAATATATGACATAGAACTATGTGCACATGCATACAACCGTAACACTGATAAAAACCACAATGCAACTTTCACAAACATGAGACATATGACTATCTGTCAATTGCATTTGCCTTTTAATATTAAATGTTAGTTTAGCCAGGTGGTGGTGACGCACGCCTCTAATGCAGCACTGTAGAAGCGAGGGTTTGTGGATCGCACAAAATTTGAGAAACTCCTTTCCCGTGGGCTTCGAGGAGGTGCCGTGCCCTGGGTTGCCAGGGAAACGCAGTGCAGTCAAAATGTGGACTCCACCTATGTCGTCTGTGTTCTACTCTCACACGCGTGGGTTTTGTGAAAATTCCGTCACAGTTCCTATGATTGCTTTTTCATAGCTTTATTTTGGTGATTTCGAAAAATGTATTGGTTTAGCCATGTTTGTTTGTTGTAGTAAAGAGTTAGACTGATGGCCTTAATCTAAGTTGTCTTGTGGTTGTTGTTGTTGTTGTTTGACTTGCATCCCACTGGGATTTTTGCACACAGCGTTGGTGTATGGTTTTTTTTCTGCAATATTTAGCTGTCTTTTCTTGGATTTTCTGTTTGCACTTAGTCACATATTCACTTTAAGATGTTTTTTGTTCATGTTTTTGTTTGTTGCGGTTGCACCCGATTCAAGAGCCGAATGACTCACAGGGCTATACCTAATAAATGAACTTGAACTTTTCTGGGTGCTCTGGATTCTTCTCACATTTAAGCGCCCATTAATTGGCCGAAACTACCTTCACATATAGAGGACCGCAAAGCTTGGGTAATTGTCGGCGCCAGCTCAATACATGGCTGCCTTCCTGCTTGTCAGTGGTTCCACCTCGGTCGCCTCTGAGTCGTTCTCTCTCTCTGAGAGTGAGCGAATACCGTGCACATTACAAGTTGAAAATATTAATAAGGTAGGAAAAGCATGTAAAAAAAATACCTTCAAGTACGAAAATATTAGGTTCTCCTTAGGAATTCCGCTCAAGTCACTGATCTAAAAAGAAGAGAAAACATTTGTTTGAGATGCTTAAAATCCAAAACACGTTTCATATTTCACAGTGTCACATTACATCTGCAGATGCGTTCATGTTTTTATTCATTTGAGACAGTTAATTATTCGCAATTATATAAACATGAAATTAAACCAGGATATCAAAATTTAGAGTCACTGGTGACAATGGTTTAGAACATCGTGCAGTGTAAAAGTGTTGGTGTAGCAGTGGTTCATACTCTTAGTTCTTTCGGTAAAATCACGTAGGTAAAAAATGAAATTAAAATTAATAAAAATAAAACAATAAAATCACGACGTTTCGGAGGCAACACAAGTCTCCGTCATCAGGTGGGACCATCACAGCCAGATTTGCTGCAGACTTGTGTTGCCTACGAAACGTCGTGATTTTAATGTTTTATTTTTATTAATTTTTATTTCATTTTTTACCTACGTGACTTTATCGAAAGAACTAAGAGTATGAATCCTTGCAGTCACGAAAGCTTCAAATCTAGAAGTAGCAGTGGTTGTTTGACTGCACCTTGCCAGGTAGCTTGTGCATGCCATGGATATCCCACAGGAGGTCCTGGAAGGGACCTGGCACCCGATCTGCTGGCTGCACCGAGCCCAAGTGCAGACGCACCTGCAGCACACTGCGCTTCAACTTGGAAGGGTCTGCCGGGACCACAACACAGCGACTCAGAATTAAAACGATCATTGGGAAGGCGTCATCACCCTCCTACATAACAAGTGCCGTGAGCGTCGCACAAGTCACCTTTCAGGGTTCAATCAATCATCAGACTCTTCGTTGTTTCACTTACATTCATGTAATGCTCATAAAATATCGCGTGTTTACACTGCTGGACGTGAAAAGGTGGACTGCATCCAGCCCTCAGGGCTTGGAAACAAAGCTGGTCAGAAAATGAGAACAGCAGTATATACACTAGGCCATATACACCAGGTTTATTCCATGTTAAAACTGACACTCTCTCGCGAAAGCTTTTATTTTAAGATATTCGAACAGATACTTATGCCACTGAGGAACCCACTATTAAAATAGTTATAATGCTAATAACGTGCGAACAGTGATAACAAACACTCAAGGCAGTGGTTTCAAAACGTTTGTGTCTCTTGAATTATGGTCCAACTTTTTACGCTTAAAAGATTATTGGGTATTTTTTTTTATTTTTTTTCAATTCCTATTTGGATGTCATGTCACGAGAGGAATCTGTTTGGAAACCTCAGAACAGTGTGCCCCATGTATCAGAGAACAACCCGTGGAATATTTTTTTTCACAGGAACCTCTGAAAAAATGTTCAAGTGGCCTTTTTGTCCTATTTGTCACATCAAATTGAAATTGAAATTGAAACTGAAATTTTTTTCTGAGCTGTTATTTAGCCAAATCACGTAGGAAACCCAATGTGATAGAGTTTTTGTTTGTATTATTGGTCACTGAACAACGACCATTAACTCACTACACTGGAGAGCCTTATGTCAATTACAAGCACCTGCCCGGATTCAATCCCAGAGCCTAAAGTATAGTGGTGCCTGATTACAGCACCCTGACCCCTGTAAGTATGTTGAATTTCTTCCGCAACCGGAAGAAATTCAACATACAGAAATTCAGAAATTGGAGGTGAGAGCCACCTTCACAATTTTAGTGATTTTATATGAAACATTTCTAAATCAAAATAGAACCATATAAGGACTTCAGCTTAGAACAGTTGCATGAAACGAATGGCTGTCGTCTAGGCTTGAAGAAATTAGCCACTAAATATTTCCAGATGGCCCTTCAAATAAGCCTGCTTCCACTTAAGCCACAGCTTTAGTAGACATGTGTACATCAATATCTATGAAAGTAATTAATAATTATTTCCAATTGTAAAGGTCATTCCATCCATATATCCCAATTGCATCATGTATGGAAAGCAGGAAATAAATAGAACCTGGGTTAATGGCCAGAACTATGAGCTAAATGCCAGTTTAAAGCGGTGAGTTTTTAAGACATATATACATAGATTTAACGACTCTGTATTATTACCAAAGGCAAAACTTTCCATAGTCTGGGAGTTGCACTGGCAAAAGCCTGATCACCCCATGTATTTGTTCAATGAAGAGTAAGGCCCTTATAAAATTACTAATTACATCATTATACAAGAATTCCCTTGTACTTATAGTTAAAATATATATAATGCATTTACCAGAGACAATCTCGATATAGAAATCCCGGTCATTCCAGAGGCACACGGAACGGCCAAACACCTCGTAATCGACAAGGATCTCCCCATTCTTCTTGCACAGACAGAAGCTGCAAAGCAGGACAGAACATTCCTCATTACATTTTCAGGAATGCTGAAGGATGATGCATCAATAACACATAGGACTTGAGAGACACAAACTGCACAAGATATGGAGGAAATGTGCTGATATAGCGATAGGAGCATTGGGGGAAGTAACAATTCAGGGGGCAGAGAAGTCCACAATATGTTGTTCATTCCTCAGGTGAATGTGGTTATTGAACTTAGGAATTGAAAAAAATACATACAAAAAATGTAGTGATAATCTCATTCCTGGAAGTAAACAGAAAGTGATCTATATACTCATTATATATTTGTGGTTGGGTTAGTTAACTTTAGAGATTAAACATTTTACACAATAAATTATGATTATGAAATCATGTTTAAAATAATCTTCTCTTTATTGACAACACCTGGTGATGGAAAAATAAAATAAATACTTGACAAGCTGGGGAATCAGTCTAAACCGGTCAATATATTAATTTATGAATATTAGGCTCACCGTACAGTAAGAAACACTCACACCTGCACCATTCAGTAAAGAACAACCACGCCTTCAATTGCGAGCTGTGAATGAACAGGCAGAGCCTTGTGCTGACCTGTCGCCTGTGAGGTGGGGGAAGCCCTGAACTCGCAGGAAGGGCAGCAGCTGCTCTTTGACCTGCGCCACTGTGGTTCCTTCACTCAGCAGGCCGCTGTGCATCAGTCTGCCCAGCTGCATCTGTTAAATATATGCATGCCAATAGGACATGAGATCAATTAAACAGGAAGGGACCTCACAAGGATGTAGCCCACCCGTATAGCAATTCACTTGTTTAAAGGTGGGCCGTACAAAAACTCAGGTGGGACACGCACACAACAAAATCTATGTTAAACAATATTTAAACAATTGATAAACGGACTGAGTAAGAATATGATATATTATCAAGTGCAGCAACAATTTTTTACTTGAATTTAAGAATTTAGCTGGTGGGGCTGAGCCCCTCTGCTGCAAACCCAGTCCCCTCCAAGTCCTCATGATGCTACGGGGCTGACGTTGCCTGAAGAGACCAATAGATGCCCTACACATAGCAATCTGGCCCAATTACTCAATTGGGATCACGTAGAGCAACCATCGCCACCACCCCCCCTACTGGCCAAATAATGCCTTGCAAGCGACTGCTGTGTTCACCTTGTGCCGCACAGAGAGATTGCTTGCATTGTGGGCGGAGGCTAAACACTGCCTTCTGAAACGTTTTGTTACATTATCAGCGCGATGTAAATGCACGTACTATTGGTATAATCAGTATTATTAAAATGATTAACATACGCACGTTGTGTTGTGTGCAATGGTAAGAATTACAGGGAAATGTAATCGGTCCAGTGGCAGGAGGACGATCTGACGTCGCATGCTGCTGTATGTAGAACTTATTTTGCATCGTACGTAGCCAACCGTGCTAATCAGAAGGATAACAAAGTAAAGGCAAAAAGCACTTTTAGAGAATTGTGTTTTAAATCTAGATTGAAAAGTGCACAGCTCCAATGGCTTCCCAATAGCTCACCTGCAGATGGTCACCCTCTAGGAGGTGGAAGTTCACGGTGGACTCGTGCACTCTCTGCTCATTCTGGCCACAACGAGGAAGACAAACACCACAACACGTGGGTGTGATGATCACCCTCTATACAATTGTGGTCTCCTGTGTTCGAGCCCGTATTGAGCATTTCTTCTTTCAAGCTTTCGCTATGCACGGCTACACGCACAATCAATAGTTAGTTGATTCCTGACGATCACGAATGGCTGCGAAAACCCACGCGTTCCACAAGAGTACACTTGCAGAGCTCCCAAGTCCACAAATCATTTAAATGTTAAAACATATTTTCTTAAATATTAAGCTTTATTATCATCTTAGGCTTCATTGTTATTGTTTAATGTGGAAAATAATTATTTTAAGGTTCTATAAACTACCGTTAACCCGCGCTGCCCAGCGTGATGAAGTCTGGTCAATATACTCTCGCGATTGGCATGGCATGCGGAGGCCCTCATCCAGTCATGGATTTACCTTTGGGCTCTACATGTACTCATGTCATTCACCTTTTTGAATGTTTTCTGTATAGCTTTGGTCGACCAATGCTTTCCATGAAAATTACAGGAATAGTCTCAATGGGTCCGTACCTGGTTATGTATGACGTATATGAATGTCTTCAACTTAATTTTGATGTAAGGCAGTTCTCAATAAAGTGTATATGTGAAATACTGGGAATATCCCGCATTGTGTACTGTACATCTGCTCATCAGTGTTGCTTGGATACCTATAACGTACAGACCACCAGCTCTGGATGCTTAAAACCCACTGCTCTCAAATTACCACGCGACATTAACTATTAACATGCCCAAACCATTAACACACTTGTTTATAACAATGCAATATTGAATTTGGTGGCATAGCTATCGAGTGTGTAGGCGGTGCAACTGCACCGTGGTGATGCAACTGCACTGGAGGGATTTAATGTGCTGGGCTTAGAAGAGGGGGAAATGAATCAGATGTCACCATTGTATGCCTTGTACCAGGTCCCCAAACCAATCTCACAAGGTCATAAAAAAATAAAAATTGTAATCGTAAAACAAAGTTAGTTTTTTTGGCCTTATTTTCTACCTGGTTGTTTTCTGGAAGGAATATCTGCTTTGTGTAACGCATCTCCTTGAGTAACAGTTCATCCGCGTGTTTGTCAATCCGGCTGGGAAGGTGCTCCGTCTTGTCCCTGACAAAGGTGAACGACAAAAAGAAACGAATCGAAACCGGCTTTGCAACGCTGTGACCGCAACTTTGGCACGTGCCTGGCTAAATGTCGGACCTGTACAGAACGAGATCTCCATCATCCCAGTCACTCAGATTGTGCAGGTCGCCAGCCCAGCCGAGCTGCTGAAGGGCGGCAGCTCCTTGTCCGTCCAGGGAGCTCGCCACATCCTCTCAGCAGCAGAGGGCGCAATTCGCACACACACACGCACGGCACAATGAGCCAGTTATTGGGGAAATGTCACATGTATTCTTCTTCTTCTCTTCACGGTTGGCGTGGTTCTTTTTTTGACATACTTTACAGGGTTATTCACACATTTAAATGGCATAGTGATGACGCCTGGCCATGTACCCTGCTGCTTGTTATTGTAAGATATGTTAGTTCACGCAAACTTATTCCAAGCTAAACAAATATATTTTAAGGCTTCGTGAAAATACACGTGTACATTTGTGTAGACCAGGGGTCGGGAACCTTTTTGACTGGGAGAGCCATAAAAGCCAAATATTTCTAAATATATTTCATTGACAGCCATATAGTATTTTTAACGTATAATAAATTAAATATGTCTTACTTTTAATGCGACTTCTGGTCACGGAACCCGTGACCCGAGAAATTTTATCTTCAAAACTAATTTCTGTTTACTTTAAAATGACACAGTATTATTAAGCAATATCACAAGTATTTTAAAATCAGTTCCAAACTGATTTTATTATTTTTATTATTTTTTTCAACTCAAAATTGTCTGGGAGCCATATGCCGTCACCGGAAGAGCCATATATGGCTCGCGAGCCATAGGTTCCCGACCGCTGGTGTAGACCCATTAGTTTTTATGCACAGGATAACTTACTGAAGTGCCTGATAGCAATTCAAGTTTTCATGAATGCTTGAGTACACCCTTTTTTGCAACTCATATGTACCCCGTCCTTGTACAGCATTTTGAGATTGTTAAGAATGTTTACATTGTAAAGATTCTAAATTGTAACAATTGATTGTGAAATTGAATAACCACAAATACCTTCAGCATGACCAGCTGTATATCTTCGTGCTGTATTTCACTGAGGTTACTGATCTGAGTAAAAGCAGAACAATCATCAGTTGTACAAGATATGCTGCATCATTAATTAAAAGAGGACATTTTCAAAGTGAGAATCTTAGGTGTGTATAAATACACAAGACAAAGATCCACCCTATAGCCTACACAAGCTGCTGGGGAAAGTGGTTTTAATTACAATATATTAAACTGGAACAGCACACAAGGGGGTGGATGTGGCTAGCCCCACATCTAACCGCCTTTGTCTCCCCAGGGCTGATAGTTTTTTTTACAGCACACCAAATACTATACAACACACAAACAGATGCACGTATAATACACACAAGCTTACAAACCTCGACTGCAATTGCAGGAATCCCTGTAGCATTAGCCTGCATCTTCCTTGTCCTTCTCCTTTGCTGTACCCATTCCATTCACCCCTCCACTGCACCCAGCCATTTTTCCCAGTACTTTGATAATTTTCGATCAGAATACACCAAATGTTTGCATCATTGTATTTGCACTGTGATTTCACAGAGTTCTTCGCGGTTTTTCAATTGTATCTGTCATCTCACGACTGAAACACATCCCATTTTACCAGCAACGATTTGTAAATGCCCAATCCGAAGTTACGCACCCATCTCTACTGACACGATGTAACTTTGTACACTTTCCATAACCACAGCATTACGAGGAGTTGGCCTGGAATACAACAGTCCCACCTAGAGTTTGTAATCATTGGCACCTCAACGCCACAAATCAATGATTGATGGCTTTTAGAATTCATTGTTGACTGGTCTAAGACCATTAAAGTCGATGTACCTTGAGACATTTTACCCCCACCTCGTGGCCACCTGGGACATCAATGCAAGGCCTCAAAGAAGCCGCCACAAGGATCAGTCCTCGAGGCAGCCAAACCTCTTATAATCATCATCATCATCTATAAGCAGTGTTTGAAATGCTAACAAAACTAAAAAACCTGTTTCTTGAGTGCTTCCACATCTCCCACTTGAACAGCGAGTGCCTCTTGGATCGGCTCAAGCTGGAGGGTGGAGGGTCTCCACCTCCTTACCAGCAGCATGAGGTTGAGAACGCTATCCTTCCGTTTGGCAGGCCCTGCACACCAGGCAGAGCAGAGTTCAATGGAAAGTGTAAATACGATATAACTAACACTCAGTGCTGGAGACCAGAGACAAACAACATTGTCTGGTTTAATTTTCGATTTAAAGCTTTCGTGACTGCAGGGATTGATCTTCTTGGTTCTTTCGGTAAAGTCACGTAGAAGGGAAATAGTAAAATAATAAAAAATAAAACATAATAAAATAATTCTCATGACGTTTCAGGTGAAGAACAGGTCTGTCGGTAAGACAGCATCTTTCCGACAGACCTGTTCTTCACCAGAAACGGCTGCTCGCGTTGTGGCCGAAACGTCGTGATAATTATTTTATTATGTTTTATTTTTATTATTTTATTATTTCCCTTATACGTGACTTTACCGAAAGAACCAAGAAGATGAACATTGTCTGGCCTTGGGTGTGCACATTCTCGGAGGTGCTGTTCTTTCCTGAAAGACGTCAAGTGTGGTCTGTCCTCACCTCAAAATATCACCGTTGGCTACGTACGGTAAGAAAGAAGTTAAACATGCATACAGACTGTATGCGGTCCTCTCGGTCGTGGTTTAAGTGGTAAGGTACATTTCTGAATTTGGATCGTACCATATAGTCCTCATTCCCCAGGATTGGCTCAAGCAAGATATACTCTCCTTATGAGGCACTAAATGAAAAAAACAGTCCAGAGGTTGCTTGTTATTGAACCAATGCTGCTGATAAGATGCACTCCAACTGATGAATTGTGTAGGAAAAGACTTTCGTTTTTTTATACGGATAGGTAACTATGGGAAGGTTTTTATTTTATTTTCCACAATGCTTTGTTATTTATCATAGTAAAGAGCACTCTATCCACGTGAATTTCGTGAATTAACTGTCCAGTTTTTTTGTCAATACTGTTTGCCACAAATATTGTGGGAAATCAATAAGCCCTGTGCCAGATCACACAATCAGCTAATCCCAGTCTTATGACAGTTCAAGTTTCATGGTTTATTTTGTTAAACCGGGTGACAACTGAAATTACGAGAATAGTCTCATGGACAAAAGTGACCTGTAATGACAGGGATGTAAGATGTAACACTATAGAAGAATTCAAAACGAAGTGCTCATTAATGGGAGAACTAAACCAATCTCTCCATCGGTATACGTTCAAGTTGGTTTCGTCCAAATCCATCTGGAACACATTTTGAACGGCCACAGCGCGTGCGTTCGAAAGTGTGATTCAGGAAATTAGCCAGTTTCCACAGGAAATACTGTACAGTTACTGTGCCAGTTCTCAATATACTGAAGTAATATCTTGTGTTGAATATTATATTCTATGTTATTTTTTACATCATTAATAGATTTGTAATTGATGTTAAGCAAATTGTGTAATATATGAATGGATGCTCGTCAGCTCATATGTAACAGTTAACCATTGGCAAAACATACAATTAATTTTAATAATATACGACTTATATAACATTACATATTGAGACTGAAATACATTCAAGCATGTAAACATATACTCTATGCCGATCAGCAAACATGCCAACACACGCATTTGAAAAGTGTATTGTGGGATACGTTACGTCCTATTTCTACACCACATGCAAGTCTTTGTTTTTACAAGAGTTCTTTTATTTTTGCCAAGAGAACGTAGCCTTGTATTGGTGTGAACCTGAGGCATTTACGAGTGCACAATCTAAATGCTCTGTTTGTTCGTCAAGCATTTTACCGGTCCAAAGCTCCAGGAAGAACTCACGGTCTTCCATCAAAATTATATTTTTCCCAAAGACGTCACTTTCCAGGAATATGGTTCCCGGCTTCAGTCCCATTTTGCTCCTCAGCCAAAACCTGAGTTTGTCATGGACATAAAACAACACACAAGACAATAATATTGGAGTCCAAAACATTTGAGTTCAGCATCAAATACATTCACCTGCGCTTTACCCTCCTCTTTGCATTTATTTTGATCATCAATAACAGTTCGAGCATTATCCAAGCATTAATTTAGTACCATACTGTAGATGCATAGGTTATGAGTATATATTGGGGCGTACTGAAAACGGTCCATAATCCATTCATTGATGCTCACACATAAATACAAACATTATTTGAAAACACACGTAGAGAGATACAAAGTCGGTCAATTAAAATAGCAGACAGTCTGTGAATAAGCTCCAGACACTCCGAACAACACTGCTGTAACTCAAGATAACATCTTGGTGGCATCAAGGGCTGGTTAATGGATGTCTGAGCAGTCTGGTAAACAGGAAGAACCAGCAAGGAGAAAATACTCCATTTAAATGTCCAATTCCAAAGGGCATGAACCATTTTGGTTAAACATCCTTCTCATACTCTTTGGTTCTTTCGGTAAAGTCACGTAGAAAGAAAATCAATTAAATAATAGAAGACGACGTTTCGATTGCAACACAAGCAATCGTCATCAGGTAGAACTAAATTTGAGAGAGAGACAAAACACATCCACGGAGACACACAAGCAGATAGAGAGACAACACAGAGACACACAGAGAGAGACACACAACATAGACACACAGACAGACACACAGGCATAGAGAGACAACACAGAGACACACAGAGACAGACAAGCAGAGAAAGAGACAACACACAGACACACAGAGAGAGAGACACACAACATAGACACACAGAGACAACACACAGACACACAGAGAGAGACACACAACATAGACACACAGAGACACACAGACAGATACACAAGCAGAGAGAGACAACACAGACACACAGAGACAGAGACACACAACATAAATACACAGAAACACACAGACAGACACGCAAGCAGAGAGAGACAACACAGACACAGACAGACACACAAGCAGAGATAAACAACACAGAGACACACAGAGAGAGACACACAACATAGACACACAGAGACACACAGACAGACACACAACATAGACACACAGACAGACACACAGACAGACACACAAGCAGAGAGATAAACAACACAGAGACACACAGAGAGAGACACACAACATAGACACACAGAGACACACAGACAGACACACAACATAGACACACAGACAGACACACAGACAGACACACAAGCAGAGAGAGAGACAACACACAGACACACAGAGAGAGACACACAACATAGACACACAGTGTGTCTACGTTTACGACTAATGTACACTAGATACTACATAATTTTCTATGGGGACCTGCTTACAGAAACCTGTGTCTCTCTCTCTCTGTGTTGTAACAGATCTCTCGTTGGTTCAGCAGTTCCACTGCTGGATTATTTTTTCCGCCTGAGGACGACCGCTTGTGTTGCAATCGAAACGTCGTGAAAAATTAAGTTTTGTTTTATTGTATTATTTTCTACCTACGTGACTTTACCGAAAGAACCAAAGTTTAACCAAAGAGTAATTCCTGCAGTCACGAAAGCTTCAAATCAAATCCTTCTCATATATCAGCCACTCTTTTGCAATATCTAGCTTTGCATCCAAATAACACCGTTAAATTATTCCCTCAAAAGATTATCTTGATTCTAAATCATTATGGATTTTAAATGCAACTGCTTATACATTTTCTACATATTGTATACTGAACTTTGAGAATTTTTACGAATTAAATGTGATGTAATAGTGGATTATAATTATCATGTATTCCGAATTTAATTTGCGATTCAACATTTGTTTATAGGGTTTTTTTGTTGTTCATATTTGTCTTATTGATGTTTTCTTTCACCTGCATGATTTTGAAAACAAACGTATAATTAAACCCAGAACACCCTGACTGTAAGAACGTGTATCATGTTGTCTTCATTGGTTATTTTCCATCTCCTGATGAAATAAAAGTTTACGACTAATGTACACTAGATACTACATAGAGGGTTAAACGTCTGATAGGTTTCTAAATCAGGCATTATTAATTTAGAAAGGTGAATGTGGATTTTTTGCATACAATGGATACGTTTCAGTGCTGGAGGGCAATCTCAGAGGTCTGAAAGCCTCTTGGCACAGGTAAAACTCATTAGACAACACATGCTAAATTTCTATGGGGACCTGCTTACAGAAACCTGGTTACAGCAAAGAAAAATCAACTAACAAAACTATCCAAAAACAATTGTACATGATCAAGTTGCAAATAGCAAAGTCGTGCATCAACATGGTACAACAAGCACAAAAAATACAAGCCGAATAGAACATATTCCGTACAGAAACAATAATATTCATAAAGTGAAGTTTGTAAAGCAGAGCAATCAATTGCACGTGCACTTGAAAGAAAGTCTGAGATCCTAGAGTGATTCAAAGTAGGATGAGGACGGTAATGTGTTTATACTGTTTGTTTTTTTTCGGTAAAGTTACGTAGGTAAAAAAAGGAAAATTAATTTAATCACGACGTTTCGGAGGCAACACAAGCTTCCGTCTTCAGGTGGAAACGTCACAGAAAAATTACTGACACAGCTGAAGACGGAAGCTTGTGTTGCCTCCGAAACGTCGTGATTTCATTTATTTTCCTTTTTTTACCTACGTGACTTTACCGAGAAAACCAAAGAGTATGGACCCTTGCAGTCACGAAAACTTCAAATCTAGAATGTTTTTATACCAAACATTTCACTCAGTTATTCCAGAGATTAGGGGCCACCACATTACAAGCAATGTGAGAAACTTATGTGAGAGCGGTGTGTTGGAATGCAGCTGTGGCCTTGATGGGAGTTTTATAAAATCAAAAAGTTGTACAATATAATTTTTGTTCATAAAATACTGTACAGTTAGAGATGTTTCCTTGCTGTAAGCAACGTTTTACAGGAGGCTTAACTTTCTACAAAAATATGTTTACCTCTTAAAATATTTCAATAAGGTATCCCTAGTCCATATCTATACAATTACCAGTCATAAATGTGTATTTTCTAACAATATACAGCCAGACAATTTAAGAAATAAACACACAGCAGTATGTATGTGATTACAGGCTATACCAGAAGGAATGAAGAACACGTTTTTTTAAAACTACTTCAGCTCACATTGGAATTTATGTGCCAAAGTTAAGTGAGCTCAGAAGGCATCTTCCCATTAAAACACGCGAATGGCAGCTGTTAGGCACACCCCAGGGCCAGGGGTACGGTTGAAATGTGATTTACTGGTGGCACGTAAAATTGGAGGTATGTTGCCAACCTGTCTGTGGTGAGCTGTGGATCGAGACTTTGCCTGAGGCCTGGCAAGAGTTTCTGCTTGCACATCTGCACCGTGCTCCCACTTGTGAATGTGCACTCGCACAGGAACCGACAGGGCTGTGTGCAGGTAGGGGCAAAGTGACAAAGTGAGAGCGGAGTGTCATTGAAAAGAACATCACGGCAGCTGACACTTCACCGTTACTACCCTTGGAACTTTCGAAAGAGGCTCATGTTAGCTTTTGAATTAGCCTCACCAAGTTTCACGACGCATTTTTCCACGTGGTGAAATATTTTCCCTTGAAGAGGCATTCGGGTAAAAAAGAGCACCTTTCCTAGTTTGTCCCTCATAAGTTAAACATTGCAGCTACTTAATTGCAAGAAAAAGTTTATTGCGGTGCAAACCGAAATAGACTATCAAAGTTGCGAAGACCGAATACAATTTTTTTTAAAGAAAACGATGTGAAAATGAGAATAGGGTTTCCCGTTTTTTTCTGGCAACAAAACAGGTGTTAAGATGTTAAAACACCAAACTGAAACCTTTTACAAGGAATCATGTCTGCATTAACCACAATACTTGTCAGAATGCAAAAAAAAACCACTTATAATATATGCATTTTCTTTGAAACTGATTGGTTCACACCAGAGGCAGCTTTCTTTTCAGCCTAGTCTCAAACGGTGTTAGACCAGAGGACGCCAAAAGGCATACAGCACAAATACAATGCACTATCAGAGTAATGAGAGCTCGGGGTGAGCAGCTACATCATGGGACCTCCTTTGCCAGTACCAAAATATGAGAATAGGTTTTCCCATTTTTTCTGGCAACAAAACAGGTGTTAAGATGTCTTTGTGCTGTACGCCTTTTGGTGTCCTCTGGTCTAACACCATTTGAGACTAGGCTCGAAAGAAAGCTGACTCTGGAGTATGTTTTTTGTTTGCATTCTGACCACAAGTATTGTGGTTAATGCAGACATGATTCCTTGTAAAAGGTTTCAGTTTGGTGTTTTAACATATTGTCACCTGTTTTGTTGCCAGAAAAAAGGGGAAAACTTATTCTCATAAAACTATATGAAGCTCTTAGCATTGTAAACATTGTATTCTATCATGTCAACACATTGGCAACATTCCAAACACCCCTCATACCTCTGACAACCGCACCTCGCGTGAGAATTATGGTTTAAAAATATGTAGAAGTATGCAAAAAAAGCGTTTAGTATTTTCTTACATAATTTGGTGGACTTCGTAAAAACACATTACCGTACAACAATATTCTTTCCAACGCTCTCAAAACACCGTAAAGTATTTAGAAGGCGAGTTGAAAATATGATGCACGTTCTTACCTCCTCACTTGTCAATGAAAACTGGTAAAGTTTTACTTTACACAAATTATCTTGGCTTTTGTCAAACATTTCATCCGTCTGAATATAAACACAAGAGCATGAATAAGATAACAGTATTGTAAAACTGTATTCCTGAATGTAAAATATAATGCATTGCCAATAACAGTGTGTTATTATTGTAAACATCACTTTGGAATGCTGTAATGGATTACAGTATTAATTATTTCGCATGGTGAGGCTTTCTTACCTTTATATTATTATCTGATGTGTTGATCGTGCTTACAGAAGCTGACACTCCCTCGTGACTCATGATATATATTCTGTCAAAAAACAAATATTGTATAATGTATTAGACAACGTAAGTTCTAAAACAAACACTTCTAGAAATTACAGTTTAATTGTGGGTAAAACGGTCCATAATAATGACACTGAAAAATCCACGTTGTATTTGGCTAACTGTCCCAGGCCAAAAAAGAGTTGACAAATGATTGCGATAAAGCTTTGATACCTGTACAGCACTATAATGTGTATTGCATCATCTACCTTGTTGAAAATCATACTGGGCATGATGAACCTCTGGGTCAGTGCTAATGGACATCTCTGTGAGCCCCCACTGCAACTAAATATATCTCGCGTGAGATTAGTTTACAATGCCAGAATGACCGCAGACAGAATGGTTGTAGAACACTGCACGGTACATTAATTCAGTTGTTTATTTTCAACGAAACACAAGAGATCGCACACGCACGTGTACAGTAATTAAGTGTCTTTGATGAGTGGCACAGGGTATAGGGTTGGCCACCGTGTCAGGTCATGGCTCCATTGGGGACACGGGATACCCACACGTACGAGCTGTCACATGACATGATTACTCATTACTGCCACAAAAATAGCTTTGCTCGCAGTACAACGGGCATCATTGCTCTCACAGGAAACACGCCGCTGAGCACAGACACACAACGTGGTTGTCGCGTCCCACTACGCAGCAAACATTGCGTTCAGCTGTGGGTAACGAAGATTAATCAAGAGTGTCATTGTGAACAATTCGTGTTGCGTTCTATTGAAGCCACTTTTAATGGCACTCGTCTGGCATGTTCAAGGCGTTGCATCCACCAGTTATAATAAGGAAATTGAATAAAACCGCTGTAATTGTAGATTATAATCATCATCGTGTACTTTTACGTTTGTATCTGGCATGGCATAAAGCGTAACTTGAATTTGGTATACAGTAATTCAACAAAAGACAATTCTGTAGGTTTTGCCACTTTGCCTCCAAAACATACATTTCCAAAGTGTAGAATTCATGAACACAAACAATATAAACGTACACTAAACAGCACGCATACAGTAGTAGTAGAGTGTATTAAATGCAGACTGCTTACCTCTGCTTATTCAAGCTGATCTCTCTCTCTCCGTACTTCTGTTGTCGACTGTACGAAGAACCCAAAATAATTCCTTCCAGATGTCAAGGAGCAATATACACACACGCGCATGAACAAACTCTCCACCTACCCAAAAGAAAAAGAGAGATGGGTTGGTGGGGAGGAGACACAGAGAAACCTGGCTCAAAATCAACAACACAGCTAACAAACCCAAAGGAAAAGCTCGCTTATCAACCCAGTAACGCTTATCACAACAAATTCCCTCCGTCCAAATGACACGCTCCCATCACTCGTGCGTGCAAAGGCTTGCAGTGAAAAAAACAGGGTGCGATACGTTGCGTGAAACCCAAGCTCAAGTGGGTGGATGTTGAGTGGGAAGGGGAAGGGTTTGTGTGTGTAGAGTCATTATCCATCGCTGCAGCCACAATAGTAAGCCAGCTGGCTGGCTTACTACCGGCTTGGACCTTGTACGTCCAAGCCGGTTGTATGTAAGCCTCTGGCAGGTGCGCAAATAATTGTTTGTTGAAGTTCCAACTGTGGCAGTGGTGGTACACGGGGCACATGTACGTGGCATATGTATTGCATTCTAGATTTGAAGCTTTCGTGACTGCAAGGATTCATACTCTTAGGTTTTTTTCGGTAAAGTCACGTAGGTAAAAATAAATAATAAAAGTAAAAATCATAGAAATAATTGTACTTCTATTATTATTTCTATTATTTTTACTTGTATTATTTATTTTTACCTACGTGACTTTACCGAAAAAAACCTAAGAGCATATTTATTGCATTATAATTAGCGTTGAATAGGGGAGAACTCGTGATGTGAATTCAAGGTCTTCTTACCCAAGGTCCTCTTATTATTGAAGCAAGCCTGTTACAATACTTTATACATTGTGTGCATCTGTTGGTTGTTAAAATATTCATGTGGATTGTCGAGAGGCACGGAGAGTGGAATTACTACCTGCACTGTAGTTGTCACTGACTCAGAGACAAAGATCACAGCCTTGACGGATTGTTGGGGCATGTGCTGTTAGCGAACATCTATGGGATGGTGGTGGTGGGTGGCCAGCACCACACCCGAGCCCGCCTTTGTCTCCCCAGTGGCGATGTTCACAGATCGCACCAAGTACTCATTTGAGGCTGAGTAGACCTAGGGGAGGCCCAAGACCGGTTCAGATAAATAATTGTCACCGGTGTTGGTCGTGAGTGGGAATCGAACTCGGGTTGTTTGGTTCGTAGTGCAGCGTGCTAAACGTTGGTACGAACGCTCCCCACTGACTCTAAATGCCCTACACCATGTGTGCAACACCAGGGGGCACCATGTCACCGAGAGAACACATCAATTCGTGTGTCACACGCACTATCCTGGTTGGGTTGAGCATTTCAGACCTTACACAACAGCCAACACGTGGCTGCAAGCGTTTGAAACCCAAGCTTCAGCTTTATGGACCGCTGACTACGTACATACATCCATGCCTGCCATTCTTGCCTTGGTTCGTGATCGAGCGCAGTTGAATGTCAAATCCTTTCGTTTTAGAACCACTGCGTCCCCCACCCACCCTGATCAATACAACTATGGCACTATAGCAGAGCGAGATATCATATTTTCCACGCCACTGGCGTTGTGAATAAGTGTGTTTTACTGGTAGGAACCTCCTGCTTACACCAGCCCACAGGGGATTATTGTGTCCGTTGTGCAGGGACGGGCTGGCTGGGGAGGGAGGGGCTGAGTGGGGAGGGTGGGGAGGGTGGGGTGGGGAGGGGCTGGGTGGGAGGGGCTGGGTGGGGTGGGTGGGGCTGAGTGGGGAGGGGCTGGGTGGGGCTGGGTGGGGGGTGGGCTGGGTGGGGAGGAGCTGGGTGGGGGTGGGAGGGGCTGGGTGGGGAGGGGTTGGTGGGGCTGGGTGGGGAGAGGAGGGGCTGGGTGGGGGTGGGAGGGGTGGGGATGGGTAGGGTTGGGGCTGGGTGGGGAGGGAGGGGCTGGGTGGGGGGAGGGAGGGGTGGGGCTGGGTGGGGTGGGGCTGGTCACCCCGTTGTGCCCTTATAAAACTCAACGTTCAACCTACTCACGACGGCTTGTGCTGCCCGCCCTCACAGTCGGGCATATTTGCGGAATACACCACGCCGCCGTTGACCCTGGCCATTGACCGAGCAACCCAACGTTCCTACCAGCTCCCTCAGCAGGAATGTGTTGTCGTCCCAACGTGGCGCTGACGTTCGACATTTTTGGCCCTGCCCTGCAATGGCTTTTGCAATCCCACTGTTGAGAACCACTTCATGGACTCGTGCAAAAAAAATGGGTAAACTTATGGCATAACATTGGTAGGAAGGTTTGAGTTCAATATTATGTTCGATACTATATACCACACAAACATTATAACACAATAAAAGACATTGGCAAGGCAAAAATAAATAGCACATGCATTTTTGCATTCGAAACAAACAGCGTATACTCAAGGAAGTTTTGCAAACTTCATACAGTGCTATTTGGCTTGCAAATTCCACGCGTTAATTAATGCTCCTGATATTAAGCACACGCAAGTGGAATGGATACACATTTTCCAAGGAGCTTATGCAACGTGACCTGGTTTTAAGAGAAGTGTTGATACTCCAGGGCAGGCTGTCACTTGGAACAAAAAAAATAAACACGGTACTGGACTTGGTTGTTACCTTTTTTGTGGCATCCAAATCAGCAAAAGTATGACCTTATCCCAGTACAGGACTTGCAGTATCATCTTTGTTATTATGAATACGTTTTCTCATGACACTGTTGTTTCTACTTCCTTTTTACACATGCCAATACTGCATCTTTCTCGTCAAGTGGCCGAATATCTCAGGCAGTATCCTCACCAAAAGAGGTTTGGATAACAATAGGATTTCCGGAGTCAATTGTAATAATTGTTACCGTTCACATGTATCATTTAGATAGGCCATGTATTGCAACAACAATGATATTGAAAGGTGTTTGAGTGATATGATTTCACGACGATGCTGTACTTCTCAAAATAAAACTGATCTGGCACTCTCAACACGGGACATCAAAGCGGCCTCGGTAATTTGACTGCATGTAAAGAAAATGTTTAAGAATGTTATCAGGACTGTTTATTCATGGAATAATTTACTGTATTGTAGTACGTACACTTAGATTATGCTTTTTAACCCCCTTGTTAAATTATGTACGGGGACGGGGGGGGGTGTCTCCTCTGATTTGGTAGCTCAGGGTCAGAGATAAATCCGGCCTCTCTGGATGTATATATAACCTTTCGTGTTAATTATTGTGCTCACTAAGCCCCATACTCCAGTGTTTAACTATGTGTTGGGTGGGACACGTGTTTGCTCTGTACCCGGCACCAAGGGCATTGCAGTCACTGCTGGTGTCGTGGGTGTCCAGGCTCCCACAACATGTTTAGGTATGGATAAGAGCCATATCGGTGATTGCACCTTGGACATGTGCGTACATGTTATGAAAGTGTGACTTTATTGGCTATGTTGATAAAAAAAAAAAGGCTTGTTAAAAAGACTCATACAGGTCATACATGTTGAGTTGACCCTTTATAGTGGGTTGACTTACATTGCTATGGGGATTTGCTGAAGTACAAAGATGCAGTGTCCTTTCGTTTTTCTACAGTGTTTAAAATCAGTTCAACAACAATCCCTGCATGGATTAGATTTTGGTTTAAGCTGTAGGTGCCAGTGTTGAGTTTAGAGGTATGGTACTTATTTTGTCTTTCCAAAATACCTCTCCCGCCCTCAAAAACACAGTGATTGATCATTTTAAAACAGTATTCCTATGACTATTCAGTGTATACAGTATACCGCATCAACATTACCCATTTTCAACAAAGACCACACACCAATATAGTAAACTCGTATACATGTATCTTTATTAAGTAAAGAGTGGTTGAGAAAGCATGTCTAAGTGCTAAACAATGTAAACTGCAGAGTCTATCATTTTTGCATTATGCTGGAGTACTGTATTGCATACGTTTCTTTTTACACTTTATGAAATTGGATACAAGGGGCCTTAAAATATTTGGCGATAACAGAGCGTGCAGGATTACTGCATATTTGTCGGTTGCGATGTGGTGCAGTAATGTACTTGAAAGTCCTTAGAGTTGTGATAGTGTTTCTGAATGTACGGATTCATCAACATATTACCTTTTTTTCACACATAACCTTTTTGGTCTTCTCCATTAAGTCAACCACCTTGTTGCCCAGGAAATAATTACCATGATACTGTGGTAACAATATTACTGTACTGTACTATCATGTTTGCCTTGATTCTCCAAGGTAGAGTCCTGGATTAGGATGTTTGGTCAGTTCCATTTGAGTCCTTGGCATGTGAAAATAAACCTGAGTACCATCCCAACAGTTTTAGGGCATGCTTAGCTTGAATAATAATACATCGTGATGTCAGATTGTGTAAAATGTGTGTCGTTAAACCTCCTCCACCCGACACAGCCATTTAATAAAATTGTCACTTGAACAAACCTGACAATTTTATTCATGCACGTGTGCCAGCACGCCAGGCTGTCTCGAGTCGTGCGTCGATGCTGACGAGCGAGTATGTAAACGCGACCGGGTACGGTATGTACATGTATCTCGTGGTCTGTAGAACGCTTTCCGTGGTCAGGCTGCGTCGTGTTGAGGATCATGTCTTTAGAACTGCTTTTTTGTGTTTAGCTTGTTGTCCTTGCCCCCCGCACCTCCGATTAGCAAGGTTGGCTACGTACGGTTCCAAAGCAGTTCAACATTCATACGTTGGAGAGCAATAGTTACAACCAGCATCATCAGGCAGAATCCAGAATTGTTTTAATGTACTGCAATCTTGGGCCTCAATTAGATATTGCGATGCCATCAATGTGTGCCCATAAAAGCAGGAAGGAATACTCAGATCGTAATGTTGTCGCATAAATTATGCTATTTTAGCTTACAATACATTGTATTAGATACGGTAATTTAAATTTTGACCTAAAACTTTCGTGACTGCAGGAATTCATATTTTCTATCTATGAATTTACCGAAATAACCAAAGAATACGGTAATATAAGTTGAGGGTGGTTCAAAGGTCAATATACTGAATTGGCACCGCTCTGAAAAATGGATGAATTAACCGTGCAACTCCTCGTTTTTGTGAATAGGAGGCCGTTCTGCAGATTTTGTAATCGGAAGCCATTTAGAATGGGGAAAAACAGGATAATCGCAAATAAGAATAGGACAACAGAATATAAGAGTCACGATTTATGAGAGGTTTTAAGTTACGGTATTTTACTATACTTATGAAATACGAAATGTACACAATAGTGTATCTATGCCGTGAAGAAAAAGGACATGTCAATCACTCATTCCAACAAAATTAACACAAAATTGGGGGTGTCTATTGATGTGACAGGGAAACTTTTGATTTCAAATCACAGGACATTATAGAATGTGCCATAATTAACTTCCTTTTCAATGCCGTATGTATAAGTCCATACGAGTACATACTCGGTGTGCCATGAAAACAGTATTGCTTTTAACAAGACAATTTAGCTGGAATGTTTTCCAAAATGCACAATTTCCATTGAAAATTGGTGGACATCATGTGTAAACATAGCAATGTTGGGACGGTTACATAATTATGGCAGTCCCTGCTTTTGACCTCTAACCCACATTCCTATGTGTATGTGGGTTAAAGATTAAAGGTATGTACACATGCCTTACCCTATCTTTGGATTTCCATACAGACTCCACACTTAACTATGTAATGCTGGAAAGTACTGCACGTATATTATTACATATAACTTTATTTGTATTTTTTGGTATTCCTGCTCATGATTTTTTCTATTTATATTTGCGAATTGTAGCACATTGAATTGTTGTACATCTTTCTTTTTTCTCAATCAACTGCTGTGAATGAGGGCCTCCTCACGCCACGTGGGTTGTGGGGGATTAAACGACCAACACTGCATGGACTTTCAACCAAAGAAAACGCAACCAGGACGACATTCTATGAGCGGACATGTAGAGCCATGAGAGAGCAGTTAATGTGCAGTGAGATGGATGGTAACAGCACTGGATTATGAGGGATAAACAGCGTAGGCAGCACTTGCAATTCAGCAGTGGATAGGCAACGCCTGATGACAATGACTTCACCATGCTGAATACCAACATAGTGAAGGCGTGTAGTAGAGACATGGGAGCATATACACTACAGTACAACATGGGATTTGTCTGTACTGCTTTCTGCCTACAAAAATACATCTACATGTCTACGGACAGTGCACTGTATAGACAATAACGACTCATAATGCATCTTAAATATCCTCTGCAACATATCATCTTACATGTAGAGTAAGTACTAATGCATATGATGCTTAAGCTAGATTCCGCATACATATGATGCTAAATCCCCAAACATTTATACAATGGGGATTAGATGTTAAGAATTGTGTCGTGGGTTTAACCAAACATGCATTTATGTCTCCCAAAACATATACGGTACGTACGTACCTAAGTAATAAATGCATCATCAATCACATTTCCCCCTGCTTCTAGAAGCAGCAGCAGCAAGCACACAGGCCCCGCATTCTTGCGCACCCATGTGAGACGACCATCAACCCCACCCCCATTGCCGACGGCGAGCAGCCATTGACCTCCTATTCTCTTCTTCCCTGAGAGCCACAACCCCACCACCATCATCTCCACCACACAAGAATGGGAGTGGCGTTCCCCCACCCCCTTCTTCCCCAATAGCTACAGCTCCACCACCACCACACAAGCAAGGGAGTGGAGCTGCCACTCCTTCCCCAATAGCCACCACCATCATCACCACCATCACACACGCAGGGGAGTGGAGCTGCCACTCCTTCCCCAATAGCCACCACCACCATCACCACCACCACCACACAAGCAGGGGAGTGGAGCTGCCACTCCTTCCCCAATAGCCACCACCACCATCACCACCACCACCACACAAGCAGGGGAGTGGAGCTGCCACTCCTTCCCCAATAGCCACCACCACCATCACCACCATCACACAAGCAGGGGAGTGGAGCTGCCACTTCTTCCCCAATAGCCACCACCACCATCACCACCACCACCACACAAGCAGGGGAGTGGAGCTGCCACTCCTTCCCCAATAGCCACCACCACCATCACCACCACCACCACACAAGCAAGGGAGTGGAGCTGCCACTCCTTCCCCAATAGCCACCACCACCATCACCACCACCACCACACAAGCAGGGGAGTGGAGCTGCCACTCCTTCCCCAATAGCCACCACCACCATCACCACCACCACCACACAAGCAAGGGAGTGGAGCTGCCACTCCTTCCCCAATAGCCACCACCACCATCACCACCACCACCACACAAGCAAGGGAGTGGAGCTGCCACTCCTTCCCCAATAGCAACCACCATCACCACCACCACACAAGCAGGGAAGTGGAGCTGCCACTCCTTCCCCAATAGCCACCACCACCATCACCACCACCACCACCACACAAGCAAGGGAGTGGAGCTGCCACTCCTTCCCCAATAGCCACCACCACCATCACCACCACCATCACACAAGCAGGGGAGGGGAGCTCATCCTCCCCCCTCCTAGCCGAAGAGTCCCACCACCACCACGGCAACACCACCACCACCACCACCACGGCAACACCACCACCACCACCACGGCAACACCACCACCACTACGGCAACACCACCACCACAAGCAGGGGAGTGGAGCTCCCCCACCCCCCTCCTCCCCCAATAACCACAACCCCACCCCCACCATCACCACCACCACACAAGCAGGGAGTGGAGCTCCCCCACCCCCCTCCTCCCCCAATAACCACAACCACATCACCACCATCACCACCACCACCACACAAGCAGGGAGTGGAGCTCCCCCACCCCCCTCCTCCCCCAATAACCACAACCCCACCACCACCATCACCACCACCACACAAGCAGGGAGTGGAGCTCCCCCACCCCCCTCCTCCCCCAATAACCACAACCACATCACCACCATCACCACCACCACACAAGCAGGGAGTGGAGCTCCCCCCCCCCTCCTCCCCCAATAACCACAACCCCACCACCACCATCACCACCACCACACAAGCAGGGAGTGGAGCTCCCCCACCCCCCTCCTCCCCCAATAACCACAACCACATCACCACCATCACCACCACCACACAAGCAGGGAGTGGAGCTCCCCCACCCCCCTCCTCCCCCAATAACCACAACCCCACCACCACCATCACCACCACCACACAAGCAGGGAGTGGAGCTCCCCCACCCCCCTCCTTCCCGAAGAGTCCCAGCCCCACCACCACTATGATGATGACACACAGACAAGGGGCGTGGCTCCAGCTACTTGGGGGCGTGGCTCATACCGCACATGGTCCCAGCAGCCGGCAGGCATTGAGCAGGAGTCAGAGGGAGGACCTCCCTGGGCTTTGTTGGGCAGGTGATATTGCCCGGCTCGCTGCTGCTCTCTTGTTATTGAGCTGTGCACATGCAAGAGACGAAGTTGTCTACGTTGTTGTGCTACAACTCAAGTGCCAGTGAAGCTCTAGTTTAAGGCTTTTTTTGAGTGACATTTGTGTTTGTGGGGGGGCTTCTTCTCTGAATCGTATCCAACTACATCGTGTGTAGAGTGCTGGTAAGTGTTTTAATGTTTTTACAATATTTACTTGGGTTATACGTGCTGTAAAGTTGATACTGTAACTGGCAAGAATAAGATTTTCAACACGTTTTTGGACGAATTGGGTTGGAACGGTACTGTTAATGAGTGATGTCAACATCACTGTAATTGAGAATATAGACAATGGGTTAATGATGTACTTTGCGTTGGTTACATAACTGCGTGTCTCAACAGATGTGAGTGGACTACTTTGTTGGTCTTTCAAAGCCTATCGATAATTAGCAGCGCCGGTTCAAACCGGCGGGTTGTTGCCATATTTAGTCATTAAATTTTGACTTTTAACTTTCGTAACCGCAGGAATTCATATTTTCTGGTTCTTTCCGTAAAGTCACGTAGACTAGAAAATAAAATAAAAAGTAAAATTGTAAAAATATTTTCTATCTCCGTGACTTTACCGAAATCATCCAGAGTACGTTTAGTCATTAACGCATACAGCTGCTGAATTATTGACATCAACACGAGACATGCGCGTTGGTAAATGTCTCCAAATGACAGTAAGAGGAGGACACGTGGACGCTGAGAGAGAGAGAAGAGAAGAATCAACCCTTAGCAGCTGTTCCAAGCGATGCACAGCTGGACACTAATTCCTTACACATGATGATGGGGGGGGGGGTGCATCTCCTTGTGCATGGAAGGCCCCCATGGTTGGAAGCCGTTCATACAGTGTAGACACAATGTGTGTGTGTTGTTTAATAACCACCTATTTCATTACAAGAGCTTAACGCGACAACAAACACGACGTTTGCGCTATGTTCGTGTGTGTAGTGGGGAGCGGTGGTGCAGCGGTTAGCGCGCTACGAACCCGGCCACCCAGGTTCGATTCTCGCTCACGACCAACACCACAGTGACGATTATCAGAACCGGTCCCGGGCCTCCCCTAGGTCGACTCAGCCTCAAATGAGTACCCGGTGCGATGTGTAAACATCGCCACTGGGGGAGACAAAGGCGACCGGGCGTGGTGCCGGTCTTCATGGGTGCTGCTAGCTAACAGCACTTGCCCCTACAGTCTGTCAAGGCTACACGGAGGAGGATCTTTGTCTTTGTGCCCGCAAAGGCAACCCAGTTTTGTTCGGCTAAAACATCACAGCCATTCCCATTGTTCACCAAAGTAGCCAAGAGAAGCCCTCTCCTCCCTCCTCCCTTCCCCAAGCCACACGAGAACCTCGCCACAATTGTAGATAATTCCACATTCTGGCGAGGTCTCTAGGTGGGTTTCATTCATTAAGCGTGTGGAACTCTAGAGATGTGTGTGTGTGTTTGTGTGTAAGGATAATGGTAGTAGCACGTTTGTGTTGTCCTGTGAATCGATTGTGTAGGTCCACACACCCACGTGGTGGTTGTCTTTCCATAGCAAAAGGTGCATTGGAGAATGTATATTTCATGTTCCTGGTGAAGAAAAATAGGTCGTGCAATATATTTAATTTAGAAAACAATGGCATGGCAGCTTGCTGCGGTGATGTGTACGACTGTGTAACGAAATTGAGTCGTGATTCTTTCAACAAAAAGTGCAAGCTGCGTGCTAACGAAAGCCCGGTTGTGTCACCACAGTACTGTGCGTATGGATGGTATCACAGAATATTGATGGGTGAAGCAAATTGATGGTATCAGAATATTGATGGGTGAAGCAAATTGATGGGTGAAGGATATTGATGGGTGAAGCATATTGGTGGGTGAAGGATATTGATGGGTGAAGGATATTGATGGGTGAAGCATATTGGTGGGTGAAGGATATTGATGGGTGAAGGATATTGATGGGTGAAGCATATTGGTGGGTGAAGGATATTGATGGGTGAAGCATATTGGTGGGTGAAGGATATTGATGGGTGAAGCATATTGATGGGTGAAGGATATTGATGGGTGAAGCATATTGGTGGGTTAAGGATATTGATGGGTGAAGCATATTGGTGGGTGAAGGATATTGATGGGTGAAGCATATTGGTGGGTGAAGGATATTGATGGGTGAAGCATATTGGTGGGTGAAGGATATTGATGGGTGAAGGATATTGATGGGTGAAGCATATTTGATGGGTGAAGCATATTGGTGGGTGAAGCATATTGATGGGTGAATGATATTGATGGGTGAAGCATATTGGTGGGTAAAGCATATTGATGGGTGAAGCATATTGGTGGGTGAAGCATATTGATGGGTGAAGGATATTGATGGGTGAAGGATATTGATGGGTGAAGGATATTGATGGGTGAAGCATATTGATGGGTGAAGCATATTGATGGGTGAAGCATATTGGTGGGTGAAGGATATTGATGGGTGAAGCATATTGGTGGGTGAAGGATATTGATGGGTGAAGCATATTGATGGGTGAAGCATATTGGTGGGTGAAGGATATTGATGGGTGAAGGCATATTGGTGGGTGAAGCATATTGATGGGTGAAGGATATTGGTGGGTGAAGGATATTGATGGGTGAAGGATATTGATGGGTGAAGCATATTGATGGGTGAAGCATATTGATGGGTGAAGGATATTGATGGGTGAAGCATATTGATGGGTGAAGCATATTGGTGGGTGAAGAATATTGATGGGTGAAGGATATTGATGGGTGAAGGATATTGGTGGGTGAAGGATATTGATGGGTGAAGGATATTGGTGGGTGAAGCATATTGGTGGGTGAAGGATATTGATGGGTGAAGCATATTGGTGGGTGAAGGATATTGATGGGTGAAGGATATTGATGGGTGAAGGATATTGATGGGTGAAGGATATTGATGGGTGAAGGATATTGGTGGGTGAAGCATATTGGTGGGTGAAGGATATTGATGGGTGAAGGATATTGGTGGGTGAAGCATATTGGTGGGTGAAGGATATTGATGGGTGAAGGATATTGATGGGTGAAGGATATTGATGGGTGAAGCATATTGGTGGGTGAAGGATATTGATGGGTGAAGCATATTGGTGGGTGAAGGATATTGGTGGGTGAAGCATATTGGTGGGTGAAGCATATTGGTGGGTGAAGGATATTGATGGGTGAAGGATATTGATGGGTGAAGCATATTGGTGGGTGAAGGATATTGGTGGGTGAAGCATATTGGTGGGTGAAGCATATTGGTGGGTGAAGGATATTGATGGGTGAAGGATATTGATGGGTGAAGCATATTGGTGGTATCAGCATATTGGTGGGTGAAGGATATTGATGGGTGAAGGATGCTGCTTTGAACCAAGCGACCCAAGTTCGATTGCCTGTCACGGCAATTATCGGTGGCGAATACATCTGAAACGGCTCTGGGTCTCCCAATCCGCACTGACCAGCGTGGTGAAGTATGGTCACAGAACCCCCCCCCCCCCACCACTGACCTTGGGAAGGAGCCCTTCATCCAGCATTGGATGGAACAAGGGTGGCGGGGAGGCTTGCATAGAGTGTACACATTGCATGTGTGTTATTAACACGGTCTATATTCTAGAACAATCTTGTGTGTGTATGTACAGGGTGCTCCAGATGTCTTGTGACTTCCCCCATTTAATTATCTAAAACTTAATATATATTTTTAAGTAAGGTTTATTTAAAACAAATGAATAATTAAAAGGGAAAACATGTTAGGGTTATATTCTTGGTTCTTTCGGTAAAGTCACGTAGAAGGGAAACAATAAAATAATAAAAATGTAAAGAATATATTTTTTTTATAAAACTATTTTTTTTCTTATTTTATTGTTTCGCTTCTGCGTGACTTTACCGAAAGAACCAAGAATATGAATCCCTGTAGTCACGAAAGCTTTAAATCAAAATGTTAGGGTCAATTCATGGGAGGGGGGGGTCACAAGACATGTGGACCGATCCTGTACAGTGCTACAGTATTTAAGTGCTGCGATAATCCGTTTCTTAGGTTTATATAATTCACATTGATACAATATTGTATCAACACCACAGTTCTATAATGGCATGTGCATACAGTGTTTTATCGCAGTACACTTAGTGCTTGGCATACGCAGCACAGAACGTTTACTGTCATTTATCCTCTTGGACGAGCCAAAGATCCCATGATGGAGCTGCTCACGCCCAGAGCTGTAAATGCTCTGTTAGTGCATTGTCTTTTGGTACTATAAGAATAGGTTTGACCGTTTTTGACAATAAAACAGTAGGTGTTAAGATGTTCAAGCACCAAATAGAAACATTTTGGCGAGTAATCACGTCTGCATTAACCACACACGCTTCTTGTGATGAACATGCAACAAAAAAAACATGCTCTGGCAATGTGTATGGCATTGTCTTTGAAAATGATTGGTCATCACAGGAGACGGCCTTATTCTTCTTCAGGGTCTAGTCTCACTACCAGTGTTAGACCAGAGAATTGGCAAGAAAGATCCCGTGTTGTGTTTCTACTGTTCGCCTTTTGCCATTGTCTGGTCTGGCACTGGTGAGACCTGGGCCCTAAAGAAGGCTGTCCTCTGACCTGCAGGCCAATCTGTTTGCAAGACTTTGCATTTATCATTTTCAGAGCATGTTTTTATTGGCATGTTCATCACAAGAAGCGTGTGTGGTTAATGCAGACATGTATCCTTGCTAAAGGTTTTCTATTTGGTGTTTGAACGTCTTAACACGTGCTTTATTGCCAGAGAGGGTTAAAACCTATTAACATTTTTTATACATTGATACTGTCAAAAAGGTCCCATGTTGAGCCTAAAGGGACTTGGGCAAGGCTCCGATTTGAACCCCAATAAACACCACACCAACCAGGGTGTTGGTGGATTCCAGGATTTGAATGTGGATTTTAAAAATAAAACATAACCGTATGGTTGAAATTGGCTTTTGTTGAATTGGAGAAATGAAGAAACCACATTGTCCCCTGCGTGCCCAAAGACATTTTGTAAAGAGAAAAATCCACCCCCCTGTAGCCTTAACAGACTGTAGGGGCAAGTGCTGTTAGCGAGCACCTATGAAGGCCGGCACTGTGGCACACGAGGGGGGTGGGTGGCCAGCACCACAGTGTCGATGGTTTTTTTACGCACCGCACCAGACACTCATTTTAGGCCGAGTCGACCTAGGGGAGGAGGCCCAGGACCGGTGGTGTTGGTGGCCGTGAGCGAGAATCAACCTCGGGTGGCCGGGTTCGTAGTTCAACGCGCTAACCACTCCGCCACCGTTCCACATCCTGTAGCAGGCACACACATACGCGACGTGCCATGTGGCATTGTGTTGTGTATTTTGGTTTTCACGATACATCTCGCAAAGGGGGGCAAGAAGGTTTTTTTGGTGCGAAACCACGTTACGAACTAAACTATGCATGGCGTATTCGGATGTCCGGAATGAAACGTGGTCCAAAAACACAGGTCAAGGTTCGCCGTGGTTTTGGCGAACGTTGTAAGGGGTGGCTTTTAAAAAGGGCATTTATATTAAATTCGAAGTGCTGTGAATCTGGCAAGGTGACAGTATATGCCGGTGCTAAGCTGCTCGGCTGTCTTATCGAATATAGATTAACACTGTACAGTGATTAAAGTCCCATTGTTTTCAAGCCGCATCTTTGAAATCCATTGACATGATTTAAAGACGATGCTTGTTGGGCCCAAAAAATGAATCCAATTACGTAACTTGTTTGCAATGTCAAGATAACCATCATTTCTTTATTTTTTAAACGGGTTTGACGGGTTATCGTCTCCCAGTGAATATTTCGCTGTGTCGTGGTTTAAAGAATTAGGGTATGTAAAAGTGACACGTGCTTTTTCAATCTTAAACGTTCACTTCCCCCCCCAGGTGTGGCATTATTACTGTTTATAATCCAAATACCGGGACCCGTTTATGATCCAAATACGGACAGTGAATATGAAGAATAAAGTTTAGTAGCGAACATCTGCTCTGGTAATACAGCACACCGTGCTTATGCAGTCATTGATGTGTTTTTTGCAATGACTGGTACATTGGTGATTGTGTAAAGAAAATGAACCGTTCCTGGTGGGTCGTTGCGTTTTTGCTCGTATTTAACTTTAACATTTTCTTGTTTCTTTCGGTAAAGTCACGTAGAAGGGAAGTAATAAAATAATAAAAATAAAACATAATAAAACAATTCTCACGACGGCTGCTTGCGTTGTAGCCGAAACGTCGTGAGAATTGTTTTATTATGTTTTATTTTTATTATTTTATTACTTCCCTTCTACGTGACTTTACCGAAAGAAACAAGAAGATGAATCCCTGCAGTCACGAAAGCTTTAAATCGAACTTTAACATTCATATGGCATTATTACAAGCGTGCAGTTCTCTGCAAGGCACCGGAACCTCGATTCCCCTGTGTCGACAATGAAATTAACAATGCAACAGCTATAAGCGAGCCCAACATACAAATACAACAAGGGAGTTATGCAATGGAGTTGTTCTTGAGTGTAACAGCCACAGGCACTGAATCGTTAAAGCGTTCATAACGAAACCCCACCAGACAAAATGGAAGTTTTAAGTAACACTCCTCTTTCTGAGACCTCAAAGTGGCAGCAAAATCCCTCCTCATTCGTGTTCATCCGCAGGTAACTTTGCGACTAATGTTTTTCTCCGAATGATGCGATCCGCCGAGAAGGCCACCCTCGTCATCAGCAGGGGATGTGAGAAGGGGATGTGTCCCCTGTACAGCACCATAGAACCCTAATATAATATCTCCTGCGGTGTCACTCAGCATTTCAGGACATTTAACACTTGAAATGCATTCTCAGATATTGTAAATGCATTCTGAGATGTTGTAATGTATTGGCCGACTGCTGTAGCATCTAAAGAGAATGCTTTAATGCTAATAAGAAAGGAAACTTCAGTTTAAAAACAATGTGTACATTCCAAACTCGGTGCCCTGCCCACCTGGGTATGATCATTGGCCCCGGCTGGCTCAGCCAGCCTTTCCACATTCTCCCCATACCTTACTGCTAAATGTATCTGCACAAACAGCTTGAATGGTGTGCTGCTACTTTGCTCGCCATAACCATGCTCTTCATGCTGACGTGTTCTTTAAACATTGTGGACGAAAATGGCCTAGTTAGTGCCAATTTTGGTTATTTAGGCAATGTAACCATTCCCTCCCCCATATACCCTCCCAAGATTCGGGCATTTACAGCACAGGGTACTCCAGATGTCTTCTAACCCCCACAATTAATTGACCCCGAATTTTTTTTCCTTTGCGTATTCATTTCTGTTTTCATACCCATTGGTATACCAAACAAATATTACGTTTTGGAGAATTAAATGGGGGGTCACACGACATCTGGATCACCCTGTACTTGCCTGGGCTGTATGTTGTAGCTGTTATGCTTGAGTGATATCTTAAGACCAACACCTCGTTGACGTACTGTCGATGCGTTCCATTTCCTTGGCCACCACTCCTTCGTAGTTCCTTCTCAAGAAAGATTTATGGCGGACAATCAAGAGTAACGCGTCTTAACAGTCAAATATGATGTCCAAACGACAGGGCTATATTAACAAAAATATACCATTAAGGACAAACGCATGTTGGAAAGCGTTACGGAGCTCATATGTAGATTTTCTTTGTTTTGGAATGTTGCCATTTCCACTGTTTCATGGTATTGTTGAAACATTTGAAACGGCATGGTGTGCCACCAGTGGGTTGACACTTTAAGGTGCCACGGTGCGAGATGTTAACTGCCTCGCCTGGTATACAGGAGGTCATGGGTTCGATCCGAACCCTGACGCCTGTATATTTGGAGTTTGCGTGTTCTCCCCATGGTCACGTGGATTTTACTCCAGGTCCTCCGGTTTTTTCCTCCGCATTAAGCAACATGTGTTTTATAGTATTTGGCTGCTGTAGATTTCCACTTCATAATCCACTTTGTTGCGCTATCATTTGTGGCCAGGTCGCTGCTGAAAAAAAGCTATATAGCTCAGTGGGCCTTACCTGGTAAAATAAACAGTTTAGTGTATTACTTTTTCATTTAAGTGCTGAAAATGTGTGGTCTGTACAGTATATTAGTTTGATGGAGATTGTGAGTTAATTAATTGTAGGGTAAGTGACTGATATTTAGATATCAAGAGAGCTAATGTCCTGTGTGAATTTTATTTAGCATGTTTTTCTACTTTAATATTTTAACAAGCAAAATGCTCCAACGGTTAATTTTAATCCATGTTTCCCAGCAAAACTGCCAAACATTTTGGTATAAACCGCAGCCTTGCATATTTAAATTCAGCCTTAGTTTCATTTGTGACGTTCATAGACGCTCAAAAAAATCTGTTTAACTTACTGTACGGTATTATGTTTCGTGTTTGGAGAATTGATATCTTATATAAGGTGGCTTCAGGAACACCCAATTAGACCCACTGTGACATTCAATTGTAGTGCTGTTGCTCCGCACTATTATTTGAACCGTAGCAACAATTGTGAAGTAAGACATAGCCAACCATGAGTGTAGATGCATTGATTTTCAAAGTGAAAAATCATGATGTACTGTAATATCTTTGAACTTCTTTTGCGCCGTACGTAGCAAACCATGCTAACAAACCATGCTAATCGGAGGTGCGGGGGAATGACAACAAACAACACAAAGCAGTTCGAAAGAAATGAGTTTTCAATCTAAAGAGGGATAAAGATCAGTTTTCTGTTTGTGTTTCATTGAATAAACTATCTTTCACATCAGCTGCATTCTCATGCAAACCTTGGGTTCTTTTGACATATGACTCAGACTTTACAGAATTACACGTTGGAGGTGCATTTAACTGTTAACTTTAAAGCAGTCGTGGTAAGGGTGAGCAGGTGACAAGGGGTGAGGTTGGGGGGAAGGGAAAGTCGATACAGTTGGCACAGCCATATTGAATTAGTTAAGTACCATACCTGAACTGGTTCGAAAAAACAGTTGTGTATTTCCCAACCAGTCAACATTCATGAGATATATTCTTTTGTACTGTAGTTTTCACCAACATTTAAGTTTTAAGTGTAACTTTATTCTTGTGGTATTTTCCACTTGAACTTTGGTCAGATAACGATTAAAAGTTGGTCGGATAATTATAGCTCAGAATAATGTGTTGGTTGTAGTTCTGGGAACTTCCAGAACTATTCTTAACAGTAGACGTTGCCCGGGTTTTTGTGAGTGAGAGAGTTGGTGTTCATTGTCGTCCCCATTGCCATGCAGGGCCAGCGTGCTTTGTCACAATGGCGGAGGCCCATCAGGCTGTGGCGTTCCAGTTTACGGTGACCCCTGAGGGTATCGACCTACGTCTGAGCCATGAGGCTCTCAATCAGGTCTTCAAGTCTGGCATGCGCTCCTGGAAAAAACGTGCTCTTCGCCTCAAGGTGAGCCATTGAAGATAAGGTTCCCAAAGTGAAAAAAATATATATCGGAAATTGACAATGAGGATAAGGTTGAAATCTTTAAAGCATTAAGTTCAGGTGTATGTTCAATAAAATAGTTTTGTAATGGATTATATAGTGTACTGCCTGTAAGTTCACAATTACAGCTCAATGTCTTTAGTAACGCAAGCTTAAATTTAAAAAGTGCAGATGGCTATTTAACAGTCATTGTTATTCAAATGAGGGCATTCAGACGAGGCTTGGTGTAACTTCTGCCTGAAAGCATTAAATGTGAATTAGCATTATCGATAGCCTGTGATAAGATAAATAGGAGAGAATGCTGGAAATAAATGCAGGTTTCTTTAAATCGGCTCTTAGCTTTGTTATATAAACAGAGGACCATCTCTATATACAGTACTGGGTTTTGTGTCATCCATTGAGTGAGCATGGTGTTGACTGTCAATGAAAGTAAGCTGTCTGCTATAAAGCAGAGGTTAAATACCCTTTGACGACATAATTCTTTAATAATAGGACACTGCGACTGAGTCCACGTTTCTGTCTTGATTTATCACTTTCCACAACAGAACAACATTGTGTCAGGAATGTATCCAGCAACCCCATCCAGCTGGCTGTTCGTGGTGGTGGCAATCATGGCCACCAAGTACGCACGGATGGAGCCTTCCCTGGGCATGATTGACACCATCCAGCAGAGCCTTCCCACCACGTCAGTGACATCATGCACCACACGAATCATGTTACAAACTACACAAGTCTGCTGTCCATAACTGGTTGTGAAAACACTACGGTACTATATGGGCTTTTTACTTGATACTAAATATATGGCATTGTTCAAACCCAACTGATGTTCCAAAGGTGAACTGGCATTTTCGGGGTTACAATAAAAAAACATTGCAGTGTCCTTGATGTTTGTGGATACATTGATCATCGTAAGATATTGTAGTTTGCAAATGTTCCACTGATGTGTTAATGCTATTGAAAATAAGCCAATCTTATTTTTGTAATCTCAAGTATATTTTGATGCTGTCATTTTTTGCTGTTTTGTGAGCAGCGAATATCTGTCTCGGGACAGCAAGGATGTGCTCAGTGGGCTGCTGCTGGCTACTGGGCTGTGGATGGGGCTTATTCTAGCTCTCAGACAGTTCCTCAAGCTGCTGCTCTCCTACCACAGCTGGATGCTGCAGAGACACAAAAAAATTTCTCTTTTCACTAAAATCTGGATGGTGGGTAGTTCATCTTTGACACTTGCTTCAATTAAATACATCTCAACTGCATATGGGCAATATAATAACTGCTTGCATGCATTTGAGTTTAATGTTATTGCTTTGTTATGAAGAAGCAGTGTTATTTTAGCATTTGGTAAGAATACACTGGCTGTGCATATGAAATAATGAATCCACTTGTTGCGCCATCAGTTTTCTTTGCTATCCAAGTTCTATTACATTGGTAAAGGATTTAATCAGCCTTGACCTTACCTTGACAACTCCCTCTTACTGTAGAGTGCAGTGCTTTACTTATGAACGTACTGCTGAATTTAGTATTGAATAGAACAGAACTTTGCATCAAAGGAGCATGACTACGCAGCTGCCCGACTAGCGCAGAGACTGCGATGGTGAGAGCCTTGCAGGAGACCGGCCACGTGGTCGGACGACGTAGAGAGTTGACGGCGAGCAGCGACACAGCCAGGACCCGCAACGGCACCGAACCTTTGGATCGGTCCCCCTTGTATACGCTCCAGCGCGGCCAAGCCCCGTCTCCGGCCATGCCCCCTTCTAGAACCGTCGAGCAGGTTCCCGGAGCTTCTCGACTGACTCCGCCTTTCACCTTTACCCCAGATATGCCCTCGTCATAATTAGGCATTATGTAATGTACCCATAACCGCGATTACTCCTTCAGGCCGACAGGTGGGACCCTGTCATTACATATGGATAAACGGCTTGTACATGTATGTACGAGTTTGAGTGCATCATTTATCATTAAAAACGTGTGCAATCAGAGAAAGGTTTGCCAGCTATTCACCAGGTGCAAACATTTTATTGTAGGCCAAAAACGTGACCGACATATCACCTTGTCTAGACATATTCCACGTGTGAAAACATTGCTATTGGGTTAAAGGCTACACGGGGGGGGGGGGGGGGGGGGGGATAGTTGATGGGGCTGATGCTAACTGCGTTTTCTTGCAGGGATTGGTTCAACTGTTCTGCTCCCGAAAGGCCATGCTGTACAGCCACCAGGCATCACTCCCACGGCTCTTCGTTCCCACCATCCCTGACACCATGCGCCGTGTAAGAACACTCGCCTTAAATCCAACGTCTGTGGGATGAGCTACTCTATTTTAGATAGCTGCATTTGCTACATACGCACAGGCATGACTGCTTCTACATGGATATGTGCTGGTTATTCAACCAGTATCCCTGATCTTTTTTTAGGCAAGTCAATCTATTTGATCACTTCATTAGCAGCTAGCGGCAGAGTAAAATATTTTGTAACCTGTTGTGAAATGTGCTAACCTATATTCATGATAAACGAAGCCGTGGAAATGCAAGGCTTCTTTTCAACTGTTGCTTAGGGTTGTGGTAACAATGCTTTTGCCAATAGAAAACGTAGTTCATTATCAACTTAACATTTTTAATCAAACTGCAGTTTTTAACCATCTTCATCCACTGTCTTTATGCTGTTTAGTTACATGCATAATTATGGTTGTAGGAATTAATGCTTTGTTATACAAAGCCCATTTATTTATGTACTGTAATATTATTTGCTTGTTTTGGCTTCAACAGTTAAACTGAAAATGGTAGTAGACGAGGCAAAGGTTTGGTTTTGCAAGCATGGAGTTTCCTTGTTAACATCAGGTGACACAAGTGTTCTGTGTGCTGTGTCTTGCTGGTCTCCTGCAGTACCTCGAGTCTGTGCGTCCGCTGATGGACGATGAGAAGTTTGAGCGAACGCAGGCACTGGCGACAGATTTTCAGAACACCCTGGCGCCCAAACTGCAGTGGTACCTCAAGCTGAAGTCCTGGTGGGCGTCCAACTACGTGAGTCTCGGAATCATTGCGGTTTTGTTACACGCTTTCTTTTAACTCACTCTGTCTGTTGTCGTTGTCGTATCCTCAAATCTTGTAACTCAATTTTATCCCACTTCCCAATGTGGTATCGACTGCAAACTTGGTATACTTATGTCATACTGATGACAATACTATATTCTATCATAAAAAAATATTTGTTTTTAAACATTCTTTTTTATATGTTACTAGCTGTACTACCCGGCTTCGCCCGGGACTTGGATCCCACCACGCCCGGCCGCCTTTGTCTCCCCAGTGGCGATGTTAATACGCCACACCAGTTACTCGTTTTGAGGCTGAGTCCCTCCCTCACCACTCTCCCTCCCTCACCACTCTCCCTCCCTCACCACTCTCCCTCCCTCACCACTCTCCCTCCCTCACCACTCTCCCTCCCTCACCACTCTCCCTCCCTCACCACTCTCCCTCCCTCACCACTCTCCCTCCCTCACCACTCTCCCTCCCTCACCACTCTCCCTCCCTCACCACTCTCCCTCCCTCACCACTCTCCCTCCCTCACCACTCTCCCTCCCTCACCACTCTCCCTCCCTCACCACTCTCCCTCCCTCACCACTCTCCCTCCCTCACCACTCTCCCTCCCTCACCACTCTCCCTCCCTCACCACTCTCCCTCCCTCACCACTCTCCCTCCCTCACCACTCTCCCTCCCTCACCACTCTCCCTCCCTCACCACTCTCCCTCCCTCACCACTCTCCCTCCCTCACCACTCTCCCTCCCTCACCACTCTCCCTCCCTCACCACTCTCTAGAGGACGTGAAACTTTGATGAATTTACCTCAGAGTCGCGTGGTGGGCCTCCGGCCTCGCCTGATTTTCCCACCCGGCTGACGCTGGGTACGGGTGCCGTTCCCCCCCCCCCCCCCGCGCTACAATAATACTGTCTAATGGCTATAATTTTATAATCTACCGACCCTATAATAGTAATTGCACACATTGTGGTGGGGGGGGAGTGAAGAGGACGTGAAACTTTGATGAATTTACCTCAGAGTCGCGTGTTAATGCGTGCGCCTATTTTTAACGGGAATTAAAAATGGCGTCCACCCCGCGGCGAAGGCGTCGCTACCCGTTGCCAGGGGCAACCGCCGTCCAATGAAACTGCGTATGGTCCGGCGACACACAGACACACACACACACAGACAGACAGACAGATTCGCGATTTTATATATATAGATGTTTCGGCTTGGGTCGAATTGTCCACGCTCAACTGACGTTGGCTGTAAATCACCACGGTCCCTTACGTTATGGCAAGCCTCGGGGCCACTTCCTGGAGTCGTGGAGTTCTGCCATTACTCGTACATTTCATAAAAGCGTGTTTAAAAAAAAAGTAAAAATAAAATAAACGTTTTTATTTATATACCGGCAAAAGACAGTGGCAGTGTTTTTCTTGTATAAAAAAAAGTGTACTTTGGCTAACAGTGGTTTATTGTCATAGAGTGGAATGGGCTGTTTTTGTACATGATGTTTCATCTAGGTGAGTGACTGGTGGGAGGAGTACATCTACCTCCGTGGCCGTGGACCCATCATGGTCAACAGCAACTACTATGGCATGGTGACTGCACACTCGCTGACCTTTTAGTGCACCTGGTGGCACGGTCGGGCAGATGTATACAAGTGCTGTGACCAAATCTATGTGACTACCAAAGTAAAATTAAGCAATAAATGGGCTTGCTTGGAAATAATAATAGTTGAGCACTGAGTCTCATCAGAATTCACATGGGAGAGATAACATTCAAATGATATACACTTGTGTGGCATTTGACTACGTCAATGCTCATCAGCAAATCAATCATGGTAATTACATGAAAGTGAACATGCACTGTAATATAATGTTAATGATTATCTTTAATAAGTTATGCGCTATTATCATAGCATTAAATGAACATAATTGTATCAAAAACAATGAGAAATAATAACGCATCGAGCCTGAATTTTGAAAGTTCGTAGTATTACATTTTATAATATGGTAACAGCACTGGTGATATCGAATGAAGGAATTGCAGCATTGCGTCTGAAATGTAGTTGTCCATTCAGGAGGCAGCGTATTTGACACGCATCCCTCTTCCCCTTTACTGCCACAGGACTTCCTGTATGTGACACCAACGAGCATCCAGGCTGCACGTGCTGGAAATGTGGTGCATGGCATTCTCATGTACCGCAAAAAGCTGGAACTGGAGGAACTCCAACCGGTTTGTGGCTCATACATACTCTCCTTCTCTTGCTCCTTGTGTTCTACATTATTCATTCACTTTTCTGCTGGTGCCCTCTTCTCTGCCAGCCTCTAATCATCTCTTTTTTTTCCTCTTGTTGTCCCCTCTATTGTTTTCATAGCTGCTTATTTCTTGTCCCCTCTATCATTTCCCCTTTCGTTTACCGCTTACTTTGTTTTCTCTGACCATTCTTTTGTTTATGGAGAATTTGATATTGCTGCGTAGGTTGTGTAGCTGTCGGATGTGTTTTCGGGTTGTGACATGTGGTATTTGACATGATATCCGACATTTCGCTCCATATGCTGGCAGCTTGTATTTTAAACGTTCCCATCACGTGGGACCAAACGTTGAACATCATAGCAAACAACACGTGGCACAACCCGAAAACATATTGGACAATTGTAAGATCGTCGAAGATTGCTTGGAAGTAATTTACTTATAAATATCATGAGCTGAAGCAGCTGAATAAGTTGTTGGCAATAGGCATTGTGTGGGATTGGCTGAGTTAGTTTATGCGATGAACAGAACGGCCAGATACATAAGAGAAACCAAATGGACTCGATGACCCTCTGGAAAATGATGAAGCATTTTCTTCTATTCTTCATTGCCACCCATATTTATTTATTGTCCTTTTGTCTATTCATAAACACAGGCCACTCATGTTTGTCACCTATATTTGACTTCATTAGCAAATGTAATGTGCTACACTCATGTAGTGTACAACTCCGTTTTTATTACATTACTCGTGTAATTAAAAATATCTGTTACACACTTGTGAAATAACACCCATTTCCAATAAATGAAGGGGAAATTAGTGTTGTAATGTTTGTCAATGTTGACTCAACATTTCGCAAATGACTTGGAATCTCATTACTGCTGTTCATAACTATATAATCGGTAGGTGGAAACTCGGGTTTATTGTGACGTTTCTTTTGGTTGCGAATTAGGTGACTCAACCCTCAATATCATTGTGGTATGCCAGTACAGCTGACATTGCAGCACAGAATAATGTGGGTGAATGTGGATTGGCCTTTGGATGTATTTGGAAAGTGTAAATGGGCGACAACGCCTGTGCACTTGAGAGCAATGTTTTCACTGCGCTGGCAGGGCATGTTTGTCTAAATCTTTTCTTCTTTTTTGCACCCGGCGAGAAGCAGTGTAGCTAAAGCTTTTTTTGTAATATATATTATGTCCTCGTTGAAAACATTTTGTTCCAGTTCATTGTGTGCTTTTCTAGGCCAAAATATTTTTGTACATAAAGAAGTGTCCTTTCTCTCTTGTGAACCCACCCCATGGCGCCCTTGGAAGCATTTCACACATTACATGAAAAAAGCAACACACTTGCTTTTATACTCTTTGGTTCTTTCGGTAAAGTCGCGTAGATAGAAAATTAATAGATAGATAATAATAGTGCGTCAGCAGTTATCCTGCTGTGTTTGTCTCACCTGATGACGGTTGTTTGTGTTGCGATCGAAACGTCGTGAACTATTAATTTTCTGTCTACGTGACTTTACCGAAAGAACCAAAGAGTATGGATTCCTGCAGTCACGAAAGCTTCAAATCAAGATTGACACTTGTTTTTGTTTGTGATATTGTTTTTGAATGTAACGTTAAGGAAAAATATCTCATTGCCAGATTTTGCTTCTCCAATGTGTATTTTGTTCACGTTCTTCCTGCAATCTCGGTGTAGCTCAAGTGGATTTTTGCACGTTTTTATTTTGTTGCGAGCGTGTGACTATTTGAAGGGAGCAAGTTGCTGAGTGCGAGTTTTAGGTGTACAATCATTCTGGGTGTGACTTATTGTCTGTTTGAACAGTGGCTGAAGGCATGTTATAGGTGAAGACGTGCAAGGTGTCTTCTTGGTTCTTTCGGTAAAGTCACGTAGAAGGGAAATGATAACATAATAAAATACAAAGAACCAAGAAGATGAATCCCTGCAGTCACGAAAGCTTTAAATCGAAATTTATTTCGGTAAAGTCACGTAGAAGGGAAATAATAGAATAATAAAAATGGCCATTCAGACGCTGTCTTTCCGACAGCCCTGTTCTTCACCTGAGGACGGCTGCTTGCGTTGTGGCCGAAACGTCGTGAGAATTATTTTATAATGTTTTATTTTTATTATTTTATTATTTCCCTTCTACGTGACTTTACCGAAAGAACCAAGAAGATGAATCCCTGCAGTCACGAAAGCTTTAAAACGTGCAAGGTGACCTAAGGAGATTGTGGATAGGATCGGCAATGCATTTCCCATTCTTCTAATTTAACACATCTTCACTTATAACCTATTGCCTACAGCCACTGCACTCCTGTACGTTTCTAAACTAAAACATGATGAAAAAACAAATGGTGTGGAGATCTGAGATTTTTGGCCAGGCCAGCACAGTTGGGACCACTTTGCAAGGCCCTATTTAAAAAAATAACATGTCCTGACATTTTTCTTCTAATTAGATCTGATGGGCAGTGTGTCCATGCAGAATTAAATTGTTGCGGTAACTTGCTTCTTATTAGAGGTAGAAAGATGGATCAATTGGTCAATATAATATGGATGATTGAGTTACTATATACATGCATTTAATTGCACGTAAGAATTGATGTATATTATATTCGTATTATGTTGTATGTAACTGCTTCTCATGACCTCAACTGACTGATCATATCTGGATTTGAATAAGTCCATTATGCTGAGGTGACAGCATTAGTTGTATTTTTCGATTTAAAGCTTTCGTGACTGCAGGGATTCATTTTCTTGGTTCTTTCGGTAAAGTCACGTAGAAGGGAAGTAATAAAATAATAAAAATAAAACATAATAAAATAAGGTGAAGACCAGGTTTGTCGGGGAGACAGCGTCTGAATTCAGACGCTGTCTTCCCGACAGACCTGGTTTTCACCTGAAGACGGCTGCTTGCGTTGTGGCCGAAACGTCGTGAGAATTATTTTATTATGTTTTATTTTTATTATTTTATTACTTCCCTTCTACGTGACTTTACCGAAAGAACCAGGAAGGAGCATTAGTTGTGTTAAGGTAGTAACCCAGACACATGTAACAGGTGGGCTGCAAGAAGGCTCACGTCTTCCACCCATATTGTATCGACCGTATAGGAAACAACTGTAGTCTGCGCTCCTTGAATTGAGGAATAAAAAAGCTACACCTACTCTTCTCCTGAAGCCCTCTCGCGACTAGCATACCTCGACATTGGCACTTGGCTCCTAAGCAAGAATAGAATAGAAACAGCCACCTGTGGGCCCCTATTTTCACAACTGTTAAAAATATAACGTATTATTTAATTGTGACTGAATAGCTACAATTCATTTCCATCGCTAGGCACTGGGGTGATTAAAGGGAGGTGTTTGTTAAACCTCTGCTGATTAATTATTTTGCTTGCTTTAAGCACATGCAAGTGAGAGACACTATATTGACTGTTACGACAAGCAAGAGTGGCAGCCAAATGGGAAACAAGTGCGGGAGGATATCCATTGCATTTGAGAGACAATCTCACGTGCAGAATCTGGATGGATTGTTGCATCATGAGACAATAAGGGATGGGGAAGGCATGGGGGGGAGGCCTTTCATCCAGCAGTCAATTGACAATTGGCTGGAAATGATCAGAAAAATAAGCACAACGTTTTAATTCTCAAAAGTACTTAAGACTGTAACTTAGCAGCATGTGACTTTCCAAGCAGCGCAAAACCAACGTGAATGAGGTGATGTTGAAATAGCTGCTGATGTCACGCTTTCCTCACTAAGTGTGGAATGGGAGGGGGGCGTTTGAAAGCCATTTGCGTAATGCTTGTGGTGGTTGCACAGGACTGCCTGTCCTCCGCTGTGGCCCACAATGCCATCCACTTCCCACCCTACAAGGGTTTCATTCAACACGAGGCAAAGGGATTGGGGTTGCTAGGGTGCTCTTGTGCCACATTTGCTTATCCACGCTGCATATTTGTGACTAATCAGATGGAACGTAATCAATCTATCTTCACAGGGCTTTAGTGAGCTCAGTCATGGAGTACATATCGTGGCATGGCGAGCAAAGCTATTAATTCCTTTTAGTGATTCATTGAAAGAAAACATTGCTTTTTGCTATGCCAAGTACATACAGTGCTTCAGGTGTGGCCCATAACTGTTCATTGATCCACAGCTGTTCTTAACAAGCAATGCGTTAAAATTGGAGAACATCTGTTTTCAACGTACGCAATAAGCACAAATATTTGTCAAACCATAGTAACTGCTGTCCATTTCAAGAACTTCGGTCACAACATTCTGCATCGGTAACTAATTCAAGTACAAAGTATTGAGCATGGCAGCCTGTTTTATCACGTATATTTGAACTATCGGTTGTTTACGGGGCATGTTTCGTACTGAAAGGAGTCCAAAGTGGAGAGTGTGCAATATCGGCACGCGCTCGGTTTGTTCATATACAGCGACGGGTGAGAGTTAATTTTACCTCCTCTTGCTTGGCAGCCATAATATGTTAGAACTATTCTTGGAAAGCAGTTGTAAAAATATATATATATAAGAGCTGTGCGTAAAGGGTTGGTGGTGTTAAAAAAAGTTGACGAAGCAGGGGAATTGTTCAGCTATAGAGCATTTCTACTCTTACTCTTAGGTTTTTTCGGTAAAGTCATGTAGGAATAATAATAATAAATAATAAACATAATAGAAGAAATAATAGAAATAAAATAATTATTTTATTTATAAAGAAATTATAGAAATAAAATAATTATTTTATTTCTAAAATAATATTTATTTTATTTCTATTATTTCTTCTATTATTTTTATTATAAAAATTTATTATTTATTTTTTACCTACGTGACTTTACCGAAAACAACCTAAGAGTATGAATCCTTGCAGTCACGAAAGCTTCAAATCTAGAAATATAAAGCATTTCCTCAGTCGATACTGCTCGTTGGTTTGGAGCAAACTGCCATGCCGAATTACTATTACTTAGTTGGTTATGGGTTAGTGGAATGTGATTTTAGTTTACCATTGGTTCATTAATTTATTGTTGTATTCTTTTTCTGTGTGTTGTTTGCAGCTTACATTGCCAAACAGTTGTATCCCTCTGTGCTCGGCCCAGTGGGAAAGGATGTTCAACACTACACGAATCCCAGGCATAGAGACGGGTATGCAGTGTGTTTCAACGCACACATGCCTATCCTACACCGTATTCAAGAGGTGGTGGCGGCATTACATTTAAGCTATACTGAATTGAGTGTTTGCATGCATGTTCATGTGTGTACTCGCGCATTGTATTCAGCCTTAGAATGTTTTTAAAGAAGTAATCACTGCATCATGTTTATTCGATTTTTGCTTTTCGAATTTGCCTGAAGCTGAAATTAGGTTTTGTGCATGAGTGTATATGTTAGTATGGTTTAGTTCCATAAGTGTGCCTCTGTGCCCCAGTTATCAACGGTATAAATACAACATTTTTTTTTATCTTGCTGTGAGTGGCCTTCATAACTCCGGCAGTATATTGGCACTGCATGGTGGTGGCGGTTGTTTAGAAGTTACGATAAAGTGTTTAAGACTTTTACGTATTCGATAGCCATTTATTTGATACAAAGTTGTCAAAGCCATTACATAGCCCTGATGTAAATTTATTTATATTCTTAAAAAATTGTGTTCTCACAACCAGGATATAAAAATACAATAGACACATTCTGAATATGTTTTCATTCGTGTCTTTAAGATGCAGTGAATGAGGGAAAAAAAGCAAGCTACATGTGGCAAATTCCATCCAGATGGCTCTAATCAGGATCTTGCTGTGGAAGCTACTGTATACCTTTTGATTTAAAGCTTTCGTGACTGCAGGGAGGGATTCATATTCTTGGTTCTTTCAGTAAAGTAACGTAGAAGGGAAACAATAAAATAATAAAAATATAAAACAATACAATTCTCACGACGTTTCTATTGCAACACAAGCAATCATCATCAGGTGTGAAAACCACAGCAAGAAAATTTGAAAAAGTACTATATACCTGTGTCAGCACAGATGTTATTTGGCTATTTAAAATAAACAATTCACTTTTGAAAAATGATAAGTTGCTCTACTTAAAAAAAACACATTTTAATCCAAATTAACCTGGTTATTTTCGTCCGTGGTGTGCAGACACGTTGCAGCACCTGAATGACAGCAAGCACTTGGTGGTGTACCATCGCGGGCGCTTCTTCCGCCTCTGGCTGTACCACGGCGAGCGCTTGCTGGGTCCCCGCGAGCTCCAGAAACAGATTCAGCGCATTCTGGACGACCCCTCCTCCCCACAGACCGGCGAGGAGAAGCTGGCGGCGCTCACGGCTGGGGATCGGTGCGTGCCACGCGTCGTTTGCTACGCTTGTCGTGATGGTGCGAGCGTGTGTGTGTGTGTGCTTCGGTGGCGCAGTGGTTCACGCGCTGTGCTACGAACCCGAATTCGATTTCCGCTCATGGCCAACACCAGTGACGATTATTTGAACTGGTCCTGGGCTTCTTCTAGGTCGACTCGCCTGAAATGAGTACCTGGTGTGTTGTGTAAACATCACCACTAGAGAGACAAAGGTGGCAGGGCGTGGTGCTGACCACCCAAACCCCTCGTGCCCTGCCGACCTTCGTAGGTGCTCGCTAACAGCGCTTGCCCCAACAATCTGTTCAGGCTATATGTGGGATTTTTGTCTTTGCTTTTCGTGTGCTGCATCCTCAGAATATAACTTGAACACACTGTTAGTCATGACCTCAGAGTTGTTATTATCATCAAACTGAGGTCCTTATGGAGAGCTGTGATTAGTGCACTTGCTATGAACCCATTGACCTGATTTCAATTCCCAGTCAGATTCTACAACATACAGGAACAAATAATAACAAACGCTGGTGTGTTAGTGATGAATGTGTTGAAAGTGCAGTCTTAAACTTTTCACTTTAAGGCGAATTAAAGGGTTGTGTTGTTTATGCTTGTGCACCACAACTGCTATCGCAGAATCACAAGATGTGTTTACTATAGTATAGGATCATATTGCAAATATAGTATGACTGACGTTTGTACCTACTGTGGGCCTTTACCTGGTAAAATAAAAAAAATATTTTAGTTTAAAATAGCGTTGGTCAGTTTTTGGAATACTCTGCGATGTTAACATGACCGCGCATGTTAGCATCCTTATATTGGCTGGGCTCTGCATGTCGCATTGCATCAATAATTTCCCCATGCTGCTCTCTTGGCACAAGTTGATTTGTCCCATTTGCCTCGGATTTGAGGTTGAGCATAATGTCGGTCATTACATCTAACCGTGTGATTGAGGTTTACTTTAGCAAATTACTCTTAAGCGGTAGCAGTAGATAAATGTAGACGTACAAGTGAAGTTGTTAACTATACTTTAATTGCTTAAATCCAGTGTAATCCCACTGTGGTTTTTACGTAGCTTACGGGATCTAGGTTTTGGAAATCTGTAGGGGGCTGTTTAGCAAAGGTTTTAAGCATCATGCAATGTAATTAACATGCAATGCACAGCAGTTTATAGCTAAAAGGCAAAGCTAACATATTTGTGTAATCCATGCCCCATTGCTTTATATGCTGTTTATTAATGTTAATATTTACAGAACATTTCAAGAAAATATTATAGGAAAACACACATTCTCGTTTTAATTTTACATGGATAAAATATAGGAGGTAATGCAATTAACTCCATTTTAAAATACGAATTTCGAGAATATTCTATACGTTGCAATTATGGGAAAGGACGTGGTTAGATATGCATCAACTGCTTCGTAAGAATGTGGGGATGGTACATATTAGCATAAGTATGGTTCACAAAGTTAAGTAAAACATTTTTAAATACATTTATCAAGCACCTTTAATTGATCGTGCATTCGATTGATGAAGACACAGAAAATTATGTGTGTATATATACAGTTGTTTTGTTAATCCACTGGTGGATGAGGGCTACCTTATGCCCCTGCAGGTTTTTTTTTACTTGGCTGCTGCTTTCTGGTTTGTATTGGTGAAGGCAGGGAGCATAGATGTGGGAGATTGTAAAAACAGTACAACAATTACATTTAGCTGCACTTCCCTTGATGTAGCGCTGCAGCCCTGGCAGCCTGTGTTGTGCTTGATGGTCACCAATACAACCACGCATTTGCTCACCTTCCAAGACCTCACGATACGATCGAACATCAATCGCGTCTCGAGTGCGCATATTTTTTTTCGTGTCATTTTGTTCGCAGGGTTCCCTGGGCGAAGGCTCGACATGCCTTCTTCCGCAGCGGCGTGAACCGCGCATCGCTGGATGCGGTGGAGCAGGCTGCCTTCTTTCTGACGCTCTCTGACGAAGAGCAAGGCTACCGGCCCGACGACCCCGAGCGCTCGCTTAATGACTACTCCAAGTCGCTGCTGCATGGCAAGTGCTATGACAGGTGGGTGCCACTCTTGGGTTGTTAATATTGTTGGTGGAGGAGATCTGCAATTCCATCCCCTGCCCTCGATTGTCACGTTAGCCAATCAGTAATTTTAATTTTATAGCCAATTACTATATAGCTCTTACCTTGGTGCATTCTAATACTGTAACAATTGTCGTAGATTGCGTCTTCGTTCAGACTCGTTAATTTTTATCTCGTCTTAGTCACGCTTTGGTGGGTAGTTGTAGTTGTTGGCGATGAAAATGTTTGACGCTAATTTCAGTGATGAAATCTGCCACTGGTGACGGCCGTCGAAACCACCCCTCCTCACACCTCGACTTTACCTCCGTTTCTTTTCCTTCGCAAACACTCATTCATCTTGGGCTCCAAAAAAGAGTCTGGTTGTCCGAGACCATTGAGCTAAGATTGTGCAATCATAGCACTCAGTGACGCATGCATTTGTTTTATTTGTAGTCACTTGTGATGGTGTAAAAATAAGTGGAATGGAAATGGTGTTTTACAAGACAACCCAAAAACAGATTGTATAAAATGTATTGAGGCAGATGACGAGAAGTCCTGTGTTGCCTCAGCTCCAAGGGTTGTTCATAAATCGGATGTATTGCCGTCCTATGGTTAAGGGTTTTGGGTAATAAGTATAGACCCTTACCTTTCATGATGCCAGGAGCCAAGCTAGCAAAACAAAATGTGGTTGAGCATTCAGGTTAAAGGGATGCCTCTTTTTTTGTTTGTTTTGGGGCACAAGCTGTTGTGTGTTTGTCATTGGCAAATTGTTTCTCTATTTTCTAACACAGACTCGCCCAAACAGAAAGCTTTGGCTCTTTTAACAATAACCATTTGTTTAAATTTGTTTTTCCACGGGCTACTTCTGCTTCCATTGGCACTTTATACCATTGGCACTTTATACACACCGACGCCAGGTTTTTCGTTTGCCAGTGATATTTACCACCGCCTTTATGGTGTTTGCAAACGGTTGTGTAATCTGCTCAACTTTTCAACCTGTTGCACAAGAGGTAGGCTGGTGCATTATCAGAGGAAACGACGCAGGAAGATAAGGTGCCATGTGTGTATGTCTAGAGAGGGGTGTGGTGAGCTGTTAATTTCGGTTTACCCATAGGTGACCTCACTTGTAGCTACATGAAACCATTCATTGCGTATTGTGTCACTGAAATAAGTTGCATGGAGAAGTGGCATAAAATGTACACATTTTATTGAAGGCTTTGAAGCATAGTACAAGATGAAGAAAGTAAAGTGATCTGATTAGGTGGCAATGAGAGAAAAACCAAAGGGACATCATGAATCTTCGTGGACTAAAGATTGGATTTAAGGGAGTGCCACATGCATGCAGTAGATTAAAATAACGTATCGTAAGGGACGGATCATTTTGAAATGATGAAACCACATGAGAGAGCAGTAGAGTTAAAACGACCAAAATTTACTGCAACAGGGTGCAAATTTAATGGAAGTGCAGTGTGGGAAAGAGAGAAGTACATACTGACAGATTGTATTGGACTACCCAGAAAGCATGAAGACACATGTACTGATACTAGTTCACATAATGGTCACACTCGCGGAATAAAAAAATAACACCACGACCTCTATCATCAAGGAAGAGAAGACAGAAATCACTGGCTGGTGTGGAGACATCGGACCCCAAGATATTCCTGGGGTCCTTGAAAAATCGTGGAACGCCCAGGGACATGGCATGACGAGCCATCAAAGCCATCTTCTCCCCCATGGAGAGCTCACGCTAACACTCCTTTTGGGTGCCCAAAGGAACGAAGGCCATAACAGCGATTGTAGGTATTCTTGCATTAGAAGAATTGGGAATGACACAAGGAAGAAAGTCCTAATTAGAGGGGCTGTCCTTCAAGTTGTTTGATTTAACACATAGGCTTTCGCGACCAATATTATTCATAATATAGGTTTTTGGGTCAGATCGCGTTATTTATAAATGTGTCGTAACCCTCCACCACCCGACACGGCCAAACAGTAAAAAATGTGTCACGTTTTCAAAGGACAAATTAATTGACTTATTTAGCCCACCGGTGTGCTGAAGAGAGAATCAACAGCATTTTAAATTTGAGTAGTACGACGTTTCGCTGATCATTACAATCAGCTTCATCGGGCAAGAATGGTGAAGCTCTCCTGTTGCTTCCGGTCTTAAATAGAGCAGCATCAGGGTGACGTCATCATTTAATTCAATTCAATCTGGTGCAGTGATTAGAGGCAAGGAGGGGGAGGGTATTGTAATTATATAGATTGGTAATCATTCAATTGTTATTCATTGGTATGTTTCCCTTATAAGGAATTGTAATTGTATTTATTTGATAATACGCTTCCAGGCCGCACTAAGCCTGTAGCTGTCAGAGCGATTGAGATTATTTCTGTTTCTCTCAATTTCAATGGATTCTCTAATTAGTCTTGGCCAGTAATAATTCGTTTTACACAACACATTAACGTTATCAAAATCAATTGAGTGTCCTTGTTGACAAGCATGCTCTGCCACTGCCGACAGTTGTGTTTGAGATCATTTAATGTTTTTTTGGTGTTCTTTTAGTCTTACACTGATGTTGCGTCCCGTCTGTCCAATATAGCATCTGCCACATAAACAATTAATCCGATATACACCTTCTGTTGATAATTTAGGCAATTCGTCTTTAGTGCCAGATACCAGTTTTTTAATTTTGTGCACTGTACCAAATCTTACTTTAATGTTTTGTATGGGCTACCAAAGGTTCATAAAATCGGCATCCCATTACGACCCATAGTCAGTACAATTGGCTCTGCCACATAAATTAGCAAAATATATAACTAAACAAATACAGCCCTACATCGGTAGGACATCTTCATTCATAAAAAATTCAGAACATCTTGTGAATGTGATTAAAGATATCAAACTTAACCCTAATGATATTCTGGTGAGTTTTGATGTGATTTCTCTATTCACAAAGGTTCCAGTGAACACGTTGCTTAAATTACTTGATACACTGGTAAAGAATACAGGTTTACAAAAGATATTCCTAAACTAGCTGATCATTGTTTAAATAACACTTACTTCTTATGGAGAGGCGATTTCTTTAAACAAAGGGAAGGAGCCGCAATGGGCTCTCCTTTATCTCCTGTTATAGCCAATCTGTACATGGAGAATTTTGAAACAAGATCACTTGCCTCGAGTACATTAAAACCATTCTTTTGGTTTAGATGTGTTGATGACACTTTGGTTGTATGGCCACATGGTAAAGATGCACTTAATGATTTCCTAAATCATCTCAATGCACAAAACCCGGCTATCCAGTTCACCATGGAAATGGAGGTAAATAACAGACTCCCGTTTCTAGATATTTTGCTGGGACATGGTCTTAATGGCAAAATAACACACAGCGTTTACCGAAAGCAAACGCACACTGATGCCTATCTGAATGCAGATTCACATCATCACCCAGCTCAGAAATCGTCTCTTATCAAAACACTGATACATCGGGCAAAAACAGTGTCAGATGGTGAGAGTCTAGTGAGAGAGATGAAACATGTTAAAGTAGCACTAAGACAGAATGGCTACGATAATGCTCAAATTAACAGAGCACTGAAGGCCAAATCACGAACGCAAAGCAACACTGCTGAAAGCGATAAGATTGTTCATTCAATCAAAATTCCATACATCTCAGGAGTAACTGACAAATTAGCCCGGGTATTGCAAAAGCAAAACATTAAAGTAAGATTTGGTACAGTGCACAAAATTCAAAAACTGGTATCTGGCACTAAAGACGAATTGCCTAAATTATCAACAGAAGGTGTATATCGGATTAATTGTTTGTGGCAGATTCTATATTGGACAGACGGGGCGCAACATCAGTGTAAGACTTAAAGAACACCAAAGAAACATTAAATTATCTCAAACACAACTGTCGGCAGTGGCAGAGCATGCTTGTCAACAAGGACACTCAATTGATTTTGATAACGTTGAAGTGTTGTGTAAAACTAATTATTACTGGCCAAGACTAATTAGAGAATCCATTTACATTGAGAGAAACAGAAATAATTTCAATCGCTCTGACAGCTATAGGCTTAGTACGGCCTGGGAGCGTATTATCAAATAAATACAATTACAATTCCTTATAAGGGAAACATACCAATGAATAACAATTGAATGATTACCAATCTATATAATTACAATACCCTCCCCCTCCTTGCCTCTAATCACTGCACCAGATTGAATTGAATTAAATGATGACGTCACCCTGATGCTGCTCTATTTAAGACCGGAAGCAACAGGAGAGCTTCACCATTCTTGCCCGATGAAGCCGATTGTAATTATCAGCGAAACGTCGTACTACTCAAATTTAAAATGCTGTTGATTCTCTCTTCAGCACACCGGTGGGCTAAAGAAGTCAATTAATTTGTCCTTTGAAAACGTGACCATTTTTTACTGTTTGGCCGTGTCGGGTGGTGGAGGGTTATGACACATTTATAAATAACGCATTCTGACCCAAAAACCTATATTATGAAGTTGTTTGATGTTTAATGGCAAACCATGGCTGCAGTGGGAAGAATAGAAATCCAGGTGGCGTCCACTGAGATCATTGCGAGTGCTTATCTGGGTGAAGCAGCTGGGAGACTTGTGTTAGGGTCAGGTAGAGGTGTACTGTTGTAAAGCAAAACCATTGCCCTTGAATTATATTGCTAATACGATAGCCCATTGCAACAGTGTTGGGTGGTGATAAAGACTGGATAAGGCCCATGGGTTGTGGTCCAGTGTGCATTGCTAGAGATGGAGTCAAGGTTGGGTCAGCCAACCCTGATCAACAGAATGATGGGAGTGGCAATTTCTGTGTAAGGGGTCTCACTCTGAGCAGTGGATGGACAGACTATGGATAACAATTGATGGTATATGAAGAAGAGGCCAACTTAAGAGGAGAAGCCCATGGGTTCTTCTGGAGGGCAGTGTAAGCTATAGCTGGAATTTGCACACCTTGAAACTTAATCTATTAAGGATATTG